CTTACAAAAAATTATTCTAAATTTGTGCCAAGTTTCATCAAAATCTGAGCTTCGCACTTGGAGCATTTCGGTTGTAAAAATTTGTAATTTTGATATAATTTACAGGTCAAAAAAATTTTTTACGGATTTAAAATAACCCGGTTGTGTGGGTTAATCCACAATTTTAATTTACTCTTTATTCTTAATTCAGGTAAGATTGGAATCTTATACTCAAAGTATACTGACAAAGACCTTGGATTTTTTTGAGGCTAATCTTTTTCCCCTTCCTTTCCTACCGTAATCTTTCGGAAGAGAGGGGAGCTTTTTGATTCGCAAATAAGGGAAGGGCTCGTAGGAATGTGAGGCACATAGCCTCACAAAGGCTATGAAGATATAATACATATATGCAAGGAAAGGCGACCCCTTTTTACTCCCAGAGGATGTGCCCCAAGTGAGGTGCCCAGATTATGATAAAGCTGGCAAAAATTCAGCACCTTTCGTAGAATCAAAACCTACCTATAACTAATAATTTCGGGGTTCTGACGGTCGACATGCCGCCAAAATGCACCTCCGAAACCTGTCTCGAAAACTGTCCGCGCACGCCAATCCACGCATTTTCTGAACCGTTTAGACCTTTCGTCCACACACTATCGAAATTTTGGTTAAGAAGTACAGTGACGGACCCTATCCAGTGGCAAAAAACGTACCGTTTTGCATCCGGGAAACATCAAAAATGTGGCAAAATGCTTCCCTCTCCGAGTTTCCCTCACAAAAAGAGCGGGCATGGTTTTGGAATCGGAGTGTTTTGACTTAGAGAGGGAAGCATTTTGCCACATTTTTGATGCTTCCCGGATGCAAAATGTCACGTTTTTTGCCACTGGATCAGGTCCCCCACTGTAACAGCTGTATTTTTTTTTCTTTTTCGATCCGTTGTGAATAGGGCTCACTATATTCATGGATTCTGAATTTACTTTCACAACCACATTTTCTTTATATGCACCTTTCCCTTCTCACGTATAAATCCATACACCGTACCTCCACGGCTTCCTATTGTATGCACACCGTCCTAAACCTTCCTAATTCCTCCCACAAACTTCTAGAACGCCCTCCCTTCACAATTCCCCGTACAACAAACTCGGATTTGGCGAGGGTTTATCCGCCCCAGCTGTATGTGAGTTCCCCGTGCATGGACAAGGAAATGTAGAAAGACCGGAATGTCATAGACAAAGTCACATAATCTTTTTGCATTTCGGGGGTTAAAGAGTCTGTAGATTAGCTGTAAAGACCTACATTTTTTTTTCTTTTTTGGATAACGCGGTTTTTGGGAGGGAGATTTGAAGGGAAATGTTAATGGATGAGTAAAGGGATTTCACTCCGATCATCTTGATATTATCCGCTGAAAATGCGGGGAAAGATACATTTTTGAGGGCTTATCGAGGGCTTACGTCGAAAAGGAGTTTGAAATTTTGAGATTTTTTGAATTTTTTGCGAGATTTTGAAAATCCGTATTTTAGAAAAATTTCGGAAATTTTGGAAAATGAGTCAAGAAATTGTCGTTTCAGTCGGTTTTTGCCCCAAAAATATGCAAAAAATTGTTAAATTTTTTTTCGTTAAATCATTGTGTGCTTACTTGCCAGCAGAGACTGCCACGGTCGAAATTTTGGCTCCGGCTCTTAGCTCCCAGAGCCGGAGCCGAGGCCAAATTTGCAGCTCCGGCTCCGGCTCTTGGCTCCGTGCAAAATTTAAAAAGGCGTCCGGCTCCGAATCCCGGCTCCTATGCAAAATGTTTTTTTAAAAATATTTTTCCAAAAATAAAAGGTATTAGTGCCAGAGATCATACAGCCAACGTTTTTTCAACCAAATGACATCATCCGCAGTGTTTTTTCGAGCAATTTGGTTTAACAAGATCACGAAATTTTTACTTTTTTGACCGCAGGGAAGCCTGGCTCCGACTTTGGGCTCGGGAGCCGGAGCCGACCCCAAAATTTCCGGCTCCGGCTCTGGCTCGGAGCCGGAGCCAAGAGCCGGCTCCGGAGCCGTGGCAATCTCTGGTTGCCAGCAAACGCTGATTTTTCGAACCCAAAATTGGAAAGAAAATTTTATTTTTTGTCACCTTTCCATCTAAAACCCCCGATCATCGTTGGAAAGCAGTCGATGAGAATTTAAAAAATATCTGCGAAAATTCCTCTTTAAATTTGTCCATCGTCTATGCACGGTGCGAAAAGGCGGACATTTTATGCCCCAATACAAATGTCTATGCACTTTATGAAAATTGGTACTTCAGGTGGCGGTTGTGATTGGAATTCAAAACAAACGTCAAAGCGGAGAGCTCGTATTTTACAAAAATTTAAAAAAATTTTCCAAAGCAAAATTTTTCTCACTTTCTGTGGCCATTGTGATCGGAAATCAAAAAAAACGTTACAATAGACAGTACAGGGTGCGGCAATTTTTCGGCCGGATTTGAATTGGTTATAACTTTTTTAGTTTTTATCCGAATGTTAAAATTCTTTTTTTCCCTGAATCCTCAGACAACCCCATTTTGTTCAATACCAAATATGTTATATATGCAGGGACCTAGTTCATAGTTATTGGCATTTCGGTCGTTTTCTCTGCTTTTTCGGCGTGTGTGAAAATCGCCAGAAAAAATGACTTTTTTTTACGAATTTTGTCGTAAAAAGTTTCATGCCTGTTCATGCCATGGAGAACACCGTTTCCACAAAAAATCAGCTCTCTCCGCACAAAACTAGCGAAGATACAGCAAAAAAGTTTTTCTGTGTGACCACTCATGTGCCCTCCTGACCGCAAAGAATCGTTGAATATCTTGGTCGCCTCTGAAAGGTGCGGGCTGAAACTTTCAGGAATTGATGTGTGGCCTGCGTCCGGCCCATGTGCAAAATTTAAAGAAAATCTGAGAGCCGCACTAGGGGTAATTCCATTGTCAGCTATGAAAATTAGAGCTTTTTCTTTGTCTCGAATTTTTACTGTAGTCTGATGAACGGGTATAACATATTTGGTATTAAACAAAATGGGGTTGTCTATGGATTCAGGGAAAGAAAGAATTTTAACATTTGCCCAAAAACTAAAAAAGTTATGGCCAATTAAAATTCGGCCGAAAAATTGCCGCACCCTGTACTTATTTTACAAAATTTAAAAAGATTTAGTAAAAGACTTCAAACTAGGAAAAAATTTCTGAAAATCCTTGCTACGAGATAATTTGCGAGATGAAGAGGGCGATTAGAGAGAAAAACAGTTTTTTGGTCTTTCTTTTGTATAACTTCATATGGGGAAATTGATTTTTCTTTGTAAACACACTGCTTTCTCCGGTCCAATTTGGATGATTTCTTAACTCGCAAAAAGTGTCAAATTTGGACTAACATTAAACTTGAAAATCTCGGTGATTTCTGCAAAGCGCGAGCTACGTATTCTCATTTCCAAAAAATTTCGAAATTCATTAACCAATTTCTTTGTTGGCATTTCGCGATTCACGTATAGAGGGGGCGGAGACTGTGTTTGATTTATTCCGTTTAATCCGCAAGACGGTCAGATCCCGGCGGCCAACGGATAAGGTCGAAGAGGAAAGGGGGGAGGAGGGGGGATGAGGGTGAGATAACCTTGAAGGAGGAGTGTTTGTAATAATTCTTTTGGCGGGGCTTTCCGTCCAACATCATTTTTGTTGATGAGTTGAAAGATTTGGATTACGGTAGACCTTAGACGTTTATATATGATAAGTCTGTTGTATTACAATACAGAGAAAATAGCCGTCGAAAATTATGAGATTTCAACTTTCAATTAATCAAAAATCTCTAATTTATGTATTATCAGTCTGTCGGGAAAATAATGTGGATTCCGCCGGGAATCGCATATTATCGCGTTTCGATGGCTTATCGCGGCTGGGGATTTGGTCCGCAATTGCTGCGAGACTTGATATTTTTCTGCGGCGAATCCACGTTATTTTCCCGACAGCCTGATTATACATAAACAAAGATAAAAAAGAGGTTTTTGATTAATTTAAAGTTGAAATCTCATAATTTTCAATGCCCATTTGCTCAGTATTGACATAAAAAATGATGCCGCGATTTTTGTACCTGCAACAGCAATGGGTTTAACATCAGAGGCTTCATTATACATGGGCTTTTGAAGGCCACTCTATTTTGCATGGCGCAAAAAGCCAAGCCAAAAATTTTACGCTGCAATGTGAACTTTTGTTTTTTCCTCAGCGTGTCGCAAATTTCATTCTGTCGGGAAAATAATGTGGATTTGTCGCAGCCAAATCTCTCGCCACCAAATTCCCAGCCGTTGCAATGACAATGATCGGCGATTCAAGGCGCGACAAATCCACATTATTTTCCCGACAGACTAATAAACAACTTCCTCTCCAAGTGTATTACTATTACTATGATCTTCCATACAAATTTTAATATAATCCCCTCAGATCTAAACCCTAATTCCCAACGTCAATTATGTTTTGATTTCGATTATTTGGGCCGAAAAAACACGACTGACTTATAAAATTGGCCCTAGTAGTTTTTATCCAATTATCTGGAAACTACGTTGATTCCTGTTTACAGCCCCCGAATTTAACCACTGGTTACTTGTTTCGAGTGTAAATATTGATTCTGTTTTTTTAATTAATTCCCTAATCCGGGGATGTGGTTTGCTGTAATTGCCATGTGTAGATTGTGATTTGGAATCCGGATAATATTCCCTAATGCCCTTGGGGAATATTGAAAATTGTTTGAACGGCTTCATTTCGATTATTTGGATTTTATTGGGGATTTGAGGAAGCAGTAATGGAGAATCACCATTTTTTCATAATTTTTTGAAATTTTCTTGAAGGTTTACAGTAATTTTTAAGCGAAAATTTGATAAAAAGTATCAAAAAGTATCATTTTTGGATTTTTGATATTTTAATTTTTATTTTTTTTTGTATTTATCGTATTTTACCATCATTTTTTTCTTGATTTTCTTATAGTATTTGAGATTTTTCAGTGAATTTCTCCGGAAAAATCATGGAAAATCAAATGTACTACCATTTGCCGGCCTTTTCCAATTTTTCAAACGAAAACCAAGAGTTTCAAGAGTCCTTTGCCGAAGTTGAAAAACCCGTTCCACCTGGATCTCCGAGTAAGTTTGCAGTTTAATTTTCATGGCCATTCATTCCATATTTCTACAGCCTACAGTTCCCAATGTGCAACTCTCAGGTTTTGATGACACTTGGCAAAAATTTAGAATGATTTTTAGTAAAATATATGCGATGTTTTCAAGCTCGCGCTTTTCAAAAACGACCGAGGTCTATAGGTCAAAAGTTGGAAAAAATGTGACACTTTTTTGCGAACTTTTTGTATGAATGGTTTTGCAGCTATTTCTACGACTAGGCCCGGTTTTGTCCCCAGGACGTTTTTGTCCCCAGGACGTTTTTGTCCCCACTTTTTTCGAGCCTTTTTGTCCCCAGACCGGTTTTGTCCCCAGGACGTTTTTGTCCCCAAGCTGGATAGTGCAATTAAAAATTATGCATTCAAATGTTAATGCTGTTGGTTTGGTGCCCAGTACTGCTCAAACAACATGTTCTTAGCGCTTGGTACTGTATAGTACGAGGTGGTACTATATAGCACGAGGTAAAAATTAAGCCATAACACGTTAATGCTGTTGGTTTGAAGCCCCGCACTTCTCAAAAATGTGTTTGTAGCGCTTGGTACTGTATAGTACAAGGTGGTACTATATAGCACGAGGTAAAAATTAAACTATATTGCGTGAAAGCCGTTGTTTTGGTATGCAGTACTGATCAAACGTTCATTTTGTGCAAAAACAAATTCGTGCTATATAGTACCATGTGCTAAAACACATTTTTGAGAAGTACTGGGCTTCAAACCCATAGCATTGACGTGTTATGGCTTAATTTTTACCTCGTGCTTGGGGACAAAAACGTTCTGGGGACAAAACCGGGGCGGGGACAAAAACGTCCACTACGTATTTCTACCGTAGTTCCAACAAAAAAAAATTATTTTTTTTCAAGCGAAACCCAAAAATTCGCGGTGACGAAGTTGAAAACCTTGCAATTTTCGATGGCACAGTGCAAAAAATTAAATTCACAGTGCGGAAAATTGGCGACAAAAAGGCTACGCGCAGTTTGACGTGCGCTGCAACAAATAAAGACCCGGCCGGCAGACTGTTCCCGACTTTCTCGCAAATATCCTTGAGGAAATGCCACTGCAGGGTTAATGAGACGATTAATCTTCCCAACTTTCCAATTAATTGGCCCCGAAATTAGCAGGTCTGATAAAAATATTCCGATTAAACATTTAGCGTTCTCCTACACTTTAATTAAGTCATCGCTAAATTTAACGCGGGATTAGCCAAATTAACCAAAATTGTCACCGAATTGTAATTAGTTTCCTCGGACAAAGACGGTTAAATTTGGAAGTGCCGAAGGGCAGGATTTGAGGGGGGCTTGCATGGAGCCGGTACTTTGACTTTTTAATTATGCTAATTTTAATTAATATTTGTGTAATTAAAATTTTTATGGAGAGGCTTACTGCCGGATTTGTAAAGGTCAAAGTTTAGGGATTGATGGGCCTTGGGTTTGGCTTCAACGGGCCGCTACTAAATATATACGCTTTTTCCAAGGTTTTTGTACTGTGCAACTGTCTTCCCCGCTCTCAAACTCCTCGGCGACGTAGTTGAAAAAGGCTTGCGTCGCGGCGATATACCAACTGCAGAGTTTTAAATATCGGATACACGGTGCAGGATGCGGATTTTTGCCGGCAAAAAAATTATACGCGCTTTTAGGATAGAACAAAAAAAATTGTCGTAGATAAACAGTACCATAAAAGCTCTGTTTAAAGGGTCAAAAGATTGGCCCGTTGTACAGAGTCATCTTTTTACGGAGGCTCATTTTGGCCTAAAACTGAGCTTTGTGGGTTCCGAAACTGTTTGTTGTGGACAAGGTGTGTTGTACAGAAGTTTCACTGCGTTTCAGCGGCCTATCCGAACCGTTAGACCACGAGCTTTATTGTCAGTCTGTGGGGAAAATAATGAGCACTCTGTCGCATCGAAAATCGCATCGCCGCCGAGAACATGAATTGTCTTGCGGCAAAATCAAATCGCTTTTCATTTTAGCGATGCGATTGGCGCAGCTCATTATTTTTTCGACAGACTGATCTTCTCTTTGTCTACTCGCTATGACTTTTCTTACTACAGCGTTGCAGGCTATAGGCTACCATATTTTGCCTCTATATCCAATGAGAGTTCATACTCGCCTCCTGAAATTCCAAAACCTTTCGTTTCTCTCAAAACATGACACAATCATCCGTTTCAAAACCCACAATACGCACTTCCCTTCATTTTTACCGTCATCCACTTAGGCCCGAAATCATACCCCTTCAAACCCAACATACACATAGTACCGTACAATCACAAGTCCACACACTTGCTCCTCGTAACCGCCTCGGGAATTAGAGCGTTCGTCTCTAAATTCGTCGCTGTGACTAATGCGATTATAAAGTGTGTAAAACGGCGTGTTTACAACAAACCATACGTAGGGCCGGCCGGCGGGATTAGCGCCGCGCTACTGTACACATTCAGGTGTAGAAAGGGGGCGGGGCGGATTTTCGCGGATTTTTTGGTTGAGATATAATTCCGACATTACAATTGAAACTAGTGTTTGGCGGGCGTCGAAAGCCGTGACGAGCCGACATTCTAAAGATCGACCGCGCTTCGAGGTGTTTATTCGCATTTCTAATGGTATTTGCGGCGAGTTGCACGGTCTAGAGTACTTGCTTTTGCTACGAAACATTGCTTGTTTTTGAGCTATTAATATGGAATTTGAGGGGAATTTGGATTATGAAGATGGATGTATGTCCGATCCTACGGCAGGTATAGAATTTGAAAGCGTTTTTTGGAGTGAATTTTTATTAGAAACGCGGAAACGTGACTTTGATGAAATTTGGGGCAGAATTTTTTTGCGGATATTAGGATAGATGATCTCTTGTTCAATATTTTTTGAAATATATGTATAACAGTCTGTCGGGAAAATAGTGAGGGCAATTTCGCCGCGCTAATAGCGCGCTGAAATGAAAGCAACTTTTTTAAAGTTCATTTTCTCGGCGGCTATGCGATTTTCAATGCGACAGAGCGCTCATTATTTTCCCGACTGACTGATGAAAAACGCCGAAAATAAGATAATTTCTTTGGTATTTTTGAATAGAAAATTAGTGTTGTGTTATGTTGGAGACGTGGTCTATCAGTCTGTCGGAAAAATAACGGCGGATCGTCGCAGCAAAATGTCTCGCCTCGCCGCTGTCGCGCACCAAATCCCATGTCGCGGCTTGCAGTCGCAAAGCGATGATGAGCGACTCCGAGGCGCGACGATCCGCCGTTATTTTCCCGACAGACCGATACTACGCTTTTGAAGAGCTCGAAGACTTTTTTGCGGCGCACATTATGTATATTTTGCTCTTCTTGATCTGTGCAACGGTTTACGCGCGTAAAAATCGCGTCTGTTGAAAAGAACTTACGTTGAATTTTTGCGAAATGCATATTGCGAAAAGCTTTGCGACAAAAAGTATACGCACTTTAGAAAAACCGTAGTATTCCCTTCCTGCCAAAAATCGACTTCTTTTGAAAGACACAATCAAAAAGTTTTTTCTCTGACCGTCTCTCTTCACACACTTTTTCCCTTTCGCCTGTAAAGACAATGACATATTTTGACTCAATCTGCAAAGCGCGTACTAAAATAAACGTCTGGCAGTCGTTGTTTTTTCATGACGTTGTTATCTTGCAACCACTCTTTTATTCGACATTCCAATTGCTGAAATTCCAAATCCTTGGCTCATAGTCATCAACCTCCACAATGGGATGGTTGCAAACTCAGTTCGTATAATACGGCTTAGGGTCCATTCTCAAATCTCTGACGACAAAATTCGGAGAAAGTGAGCGGAACGGAGAGAAATACGGTGGATAAAACAAAGGGTCTGCAAAAAGGATTGGGATTTTTAGCAGTACTGTAATGAATCATCTTTTAGCAGTACGGTAATCATCAAAAACAATTTTTGTTTTGAGATTTCTTTGTTGATTTTTTTGAGGAAAAAATTTCCAGGCATTTTTTGAAAATACTAATAAAAAGAGTCCATTTTTTATTAAAAATAAACTTAATATTTCATTTTCAGACAAACCAAAACGCCGAGAAAAAGATTCCAAAAAACAACGTCGAAATCGCACTACTTTTACAACTTTCCAACTTCATGAACTTGAACGAGCCTTTGAGAAATGCCACTATCCCGATGTGTACGCAAGAGAGCAACTAGCGGGGAAAATCAAATTGGCAGAAGTTAGAGTTCAGGTAAGCGATTTATCATTGGATTTAAATATATCAATAGTAATAAGTGCGACGAGCAGATTTTCTTTAATTTTTGCATACAATTTGGGGATAGGTCGAATATCAATTCCTAAAAATTTTAGCTCGCGCTTTGTAGAAACAGCCGAGATATTGAACAATCTCTGCCGACGAAAGAGTACGCAAAACGCGGAGAGCGGTCAGAGAAAAGAAAATTGTTGGCCATATCCTTGCCAGTTTCGTATTAAAAAAATGATTTTTTCTTGGAAATATTACCCTCTACGGTAGAAATAGCCGTGAAACTTTTCGTCCCAAATTTCGCAAAAAATGTCACATTTTTTCCCACTTTTCGGCCCAAAAATCTCGGTTGTTTCTACAAAGCGCGAGGAGAAAACTCCCTCAAAAAATTCAAAAAATCCCCCTTTTTTCTGAACCTACAATATTTTCCCACACCCATCTCCAATATTCCGAGTAGCCAATTAAAATCAAAAAAAAATTTTTTTCGCAAATTCTTTTTGGGCCATTAGACTGGCCATTGATTATTGGCCATATGTTTAATAAAACGATGCTCCAATTCTTCGCATAAGTTTTGACGCGATAATGGGATTGGCGAATGGGCCAAGGTGTCGGTCAACATGGTATGTTGGGCTTGGAAATGCGGGAAATTACGGTAGAAAAAAAAAAGAAAAAAATGCAAAAAATTTAGTGAAAAAATGGTTCAAAACAAAAAATAAATATTTTTTAGAAATTTGTAGACCATTCGGGGGCCAAAACACAGCTGTTTCTGCATAACGCGGCCCAAAAAAAATTGGTAAAAAACTCGATTTTTTTTCATTTTTTTTTAATTTCTTTGCAGCTAATATACTATACACTAATTATTTTTATGAACCCGGATTTTGGCCTCAACTAGTTAACTATTTCATAATTAAAAATAAATTTTAATTTTCCCGGAATTTCCCTCCAAAAATCGCTTATTCCCCGCATATTTACTGTTTACAGTCGCGAGCCACTTACCCTTTTAATAAATTATCGCCAACCTCACGCAAAAACGGTTGATAATCCCGACCGCAATTAGGATTACATCCTCATTACTATTAATAACAGTTTATTTACATTCGCTAATTAATTTATCCCTGTGTTAATTAATTGTCTAATGCGTCAAGTGTTTGTGTGTTTTTTGGGGTTAGGAAAGGGGTGTTTAATTATCTCGAAGTTTTGATTGGACTGTAAGGATAATGAAATTGCTATGGTTAGGGTTACTGTATTATGAATGTTTGTGTGGTAATTTTTGCGTTTGGGTACGGAAAGGTCCACAAAAAAAAGACTTTTTTAACAATCATATCAGAGCGACCTGGAAGGGTGTGTAGGGTAATTGACCGTGCTGATTTATCAGCCTGTAACGAAAAGTTACAGGCTGAAAGTGAGGATTTTAGCTCTTTCTGGAGGACTACCCATCAGAAAAAAATGCTGCAGTGAGGGACCTGAATCAGTGGCAAAAAACGTACCATTTTGCATCCGGGAAGTATCAAAAAATGTGGCAAAATACCTCCCTCTCCAAGTGAGAAAACTTCACATGACTTTTCCATCAGCCTGTCGGGAAAATAATGAGCTCTCGGTCGCATCGAAAAGCGCATCGCCGCCGGGGACATGAATTGCGTCGCGGCAAAATCAAATTGCTTTCTACTTTAGCTTTAAATATTTTTTATTTATTCGTCAAAAAAAGTTCTGTAATTACTAATGTTTTGAGCTTTATGTACAAAGATGAGGAGTGCTTTTATAGAAAAATTTTCACTGCATTACAGTACTATTCAAGAAAAACAATAAAAGATCAGGCAGAATGTTTTCGCACTGTGCGGGTCGCAGTGAACCGTGAATTTCATTCGTCGCCGTTTGAATAATTGCGACAAGTTATTTTGTTCGTCTATACTGTATTTCAGTCTGTCGGAAAAATAACGGCGGATCGTCGCATCAAAATGTCTCGCCTCGCCGCTATCGCGCACCAAATCCCAAGCTGCGGCTTGCAGTCGCAAAGCGATGATGGGCGATTCCGAGGCGTGACGATCCGCCGTTATTTTCCCGACAGACTGATAGAAACGTCAAGACTTTTTCGCCCACCTATCAGCCTTTCGGGAAAATAATGAGCAGGCTGTAGCATCGAAACTCGCATCGCCGCCGAGAAAATGAACTGCGTCGCTGCAAAATCAAATTGCCTTTTCATTTCTGCGACACAATAGGCGCAGCGACATTGTGATCATTATTTTCCCGACATACTCATCGTACAAAACTTTGAGATTTTTTTGAATTTCAAAACCCCCGATTTTGACTGACGCCAACTCCCCCACACTAAAAGGTTATTCTCAAAATATTTTCTGCCATTTCTGTTGAATGATGTGATTTTTCATTCAAAAACAAGTTCAAATTAGGCAGGATTACAAGCTTTAATTAGCCCAAAACCATCAAACAAAATTACAGTAAGCCCGTTCCAGGCATTTGTCATCCCCCAATAAGATTATCAGCCATCTGCAGAGAGTTTGTAATGTAAATCCATTCCCGGAATCGGAATTCCCACGCAAAAATTTTGGAAAACACCGAAAAATGCAAAGAAAATCTGCGAAAGGATCAACTTTCTGGCAAAAGCGATAGTTTTAGTCGTATTATCCACATTGTAAAGCGCTGCATGCGACTCTCGGGGCTACGGTGGGATAATCCGCACGTCAAAACAAGTCAAATCCTTTCGAGTTTTACATATGTCATATAAAATTCGAATGTAGGGTAGACTTCCTGCCGAGGACGTCATTGGCATTTCGGGGGGACTTGAACTTCAGCGTGGAGTGATGTGAATGTTAAAGTTTGATGGGTTTGCGAAATTGACGATTTTTGGTTGGGAACTGTGTTGTGAGGCATTGGTATGGATGGGGCTTTGCGATACAACAAATAATTATCAGATTGTCGGGAAAATAATGTGGATTTGTCGCAGCGAAAAGAAAATCTCTTTCTTTTGTGGAATATCGGACCTACAGTGAGCCTTTTCCAGTGGCAAAAAACGTACCATTTTGCATCCGGGAAGTATCAAAAAATGTAGCAAAATACCTCCCTTTCCAAGTGAAAAACTCCAATTTCAAAAACGCGCCCGCTCTTTTTGTGAGGGAAAGGGCGCGCCCTTCAAAACGAAGTTTTTTCACTTGGAGAGGGAAGAATTTTGCCGTATTTTTTGATGCTTCCCGGATGCAAAATGGTGCGTTTTTTGCCACTGGATCGGGTCCGTCACTGTAGGTGTCTCGCATATCTTGGAAAAAGTTGTTAAAAAAGTTGTGTCAAGTAGCGTCGCACTTGGGGTACTTCCCCTGTTAGTGCACTCACTAAAATTGTAAGTTCTAAATTATTTTACTCCATTGCACTTTTAGAAATTTCGGATATAATCCCTGACAACTTAAATTACTCTCTTCCCCAACCTTTGACCATAATCGCAATTTGTCACATAGACGGCTCGCAAATCCCTCGGGGATTTACTGTAATTCTAGGCTTCTTACAATTAATTTCCGAGATTAATCACAGGGATGATAATGACTTATCCCCCAGCCGGCTTTAACCCCCTCAAAAATGCTTTGTTCTGGCTGAAATTAATCACGACTTTTAATGAGGCCACGCTCTACGGTAATTGGGAAACGTCTCGAAAATTCAATTTTCCGCCAGGTCTGGAGATTACCTTGAAGTTCAGAGTTCTTGGCCGCGGAAATTGGGATTAATTGGGTTTAAGATTAAAGTTTGGAGTTTAGGATGAGGAAGACAGCGAAAGGTTAGGGTAGAATAAACGATGACATATCAGACATGACCGGCTAACGTATTTTACAAACTCAGCTTCTACTCTAGAGCAAAAAATAATCTAAAAGCGGCAAAAAACGAATTTAAAGATCTAAAAACTTCTCAATGCGCCACTCTACATTTTTTTTCAAATCTTAGGGTTTCTCTGTAATTTCCCTCCTTTTCAGGTGTGGTTTCAAAACCGTCGAGCGAAATGGCGAAGACAGGAGCGAATGGAAACTTCATCCTTGGGCGAGCTTCCCGCAGGCCTCCGCACCAATCCCAACTTGATCCCCAGTTGGCCATGGACAACGGGAAACCCCAACGAGGACTTTGCGCAGAGCTTTAGGTAAGCGAGAAATACATTATACAGAAAAACCTACTATGTAATGAAATTCTAGGAAAAAAATAATTTGCTTTGTTATAGAAAGGCTTTGTTAAAGGGAGGTTCATTTTAGCCTAAAATGTCCTCGTATCTCTGAGATCGTTTGTAATTGACCGGCCTTGTTGTAAGCCTATTTCTATCAGTCTGTCAGGAAATAATGAGCACAATGTCGCCGCGTCAATCGCGTCGCTGAAGCGAAAAACAATTTGATCTTGTCGCGACACAATTTTTTTATCATTTTCTCACCAGCGATGCGATTTTCGATGCGACATAGTGATCAATGTTTTCCCGACAGACTGATAAAACGGCCTTCCATCAACAAGACCCGTCTATAGCAAACGATTTCAGAGATCATATGAGACATTTTTAGGCCAAAAAGAACCTACACACAACAAAATCTTTCTATTACAAACAAATTTTCTGATATCTAGCAATTCACTGTACAGAGATCCTGATCTATTAGGACGTCATTTAGATGGTTATATCCCCAGTTTTACCTCAATTCCCATTCCAGTTACCCCAGCTTCAACGAGCAATCCAAATTCATGCATAATATGCAAATGCCGGCCAACGGGGCCACCTTGCCACTCCCATACCTCCCCTACTTTTCGCAGTCCAACCCATCCTTCCCGACGCATCTGAAGCCCGACAACGCCAAGCATCCGGAGCTCGGCCTGCCCAAGGATTCGCTGCAAGTCCCGGTGGACACGCGTGTTCATACGCCCCACTCGCCCGTCGATCACGCGCCCAACTACCCGATGAGCAACAACAACATGGGAAATGGCCAAGCCTCGCCAAGGCCGGATGGGTTGACTCCGTTCTATGGGTATTTGAATCAATATCCGGGACATGTGTCGCCGCAGCCCCAGCCACCGCAGCAGGTAGGGAGGGGTCTCACAGTCAAGCTTCAGGTGTATCAGTCTGTCGGGAAAATAATGTGGATTTGTCGCTGAAACGTTTCTCGCGTTGTCGCAGTCTCGCACCAAATCCCCAGCCGCATCCAGTCATCACGCAGCGATGATGCGCAATTTCAAGACGAGACAAATGCACATTATTTTCCCGACAGACTGATAAAAAAATATTGTAGTGTCCCAAGAAGAACAAAAATCATGATAAATTTTCTTTGTCGTATTTGCATAAAGTGAGTAGACTTTACGTTGCGAGATAAAAATTGCACGGTGCAAGCCCGAATTTGCAATTTTGTGCTTTGATTTTTTGCACCGTGCATCACAAATATCGCCGAGACGTAACCTGTATCCAGCTACGTCGCTGCGGTTTTGCCGAAACATTCGCACAGTGCAAATCGCTTTTTCTAGTTTGCACTGTGCGAAAAACGGCAAAATGCACGGTGCGGCGATAAATAGAGGAAAAAGGCAAAATTCACTGTGCGGTCGCGGGAAAAAGGCGAAAAAATGTCTACGAACTTTGTGAAAATACTAATATCAGTCTGTCGGGAAAATAATGAGCACTATGTCGAATCGAAAATCGCATCACCGCCGAGAAAATGAATTGTGTTGCGACAAAATCAAATTGCTTTCCAGCGACGCGGTTGACGTAGCCACAGAGCGATCACTATTTTCGCGACAGGCTGATAGTAAACTCTTTACACAAAAAAATTTAATTTTAAAATACGGCATGTTTTAATGCAGTGTTTTTTCAGCAGCACCCAACAACGCCAGTGCCGGAAATGCAACAGCAACAGCAAATGTTCGCGCAGCAAAACATGCTCAACAAGTTTCAATTCGAAGACTTTGAAGGCCAAAAGTTGGCGGCCCGCCAACTGGAAGAGCTGCTGGGCGTCGACCTGAACGCCGAACAGACGGCCGCCGCGGCCAAGGAATTCGTGTTGACCGAGACCTCCGACCAGTGTGCATTTTGAGCGCCTTTTTGCATTACGTTTTTCTTGCTTTAATGGTACTTTTTAATTTACGTTTTCACTTCCCTAACCCAAGAGATATACTTGATGTTGTAGTCAGCAATAATTACCTTCGGTTAGAAACCCCATTTCTTGTCAATGTTTTAATTAATAACCCAAATAAACAATGGAATAAGATTGGGGGAGGGTGGTTTGAAGAGAGAACCTTATAGCGCAAGTGCTCGAAATGTCGATACAAAGATGCAAAGAATGTTTTGCATAATAAGGAAAATCTTTCTGGGGACACACTCTGATTTTCTTCAATTTTTTCATGAGGGTTCTAAAAAATGCTCATTCTTTTCCCGACAAACTGATACTAGTCCATTCACAAGTCGCTGAGTGATTTTTTGCGACAAGCACTGTGAAAAAAAGAAAGGTTCACTTTGCATTTTGCAATTTCTTGTTTTTTGCACAGAGCAAGAGGTTTTTTTGGGCCATCGCTCGCATCCTGACCTTTTCCGCAACAGTGCATGTCGCAAAAATCAATCCGGCCACTTTATGGACGGACTCCTTATCCAGTGGCAAAAACGTATCATTTTGCATCCGGGAAGTATCAAAAATGCGGCAAAATGCCTCCCTCTCCAACTAAAAAACTCCGTTTTGAAGCTTCCCTCACAAAAAAAAAACTTCGCTAAATTTTTTGATACTTCCCGGATGCAAAATGGTGGGGTTTTTGCCACTTGATCAGGTCCGCCACTGTAACATATTTCTTTCGAGAGAACAAGACACGTCTCTGTTGGGCAAACAGTCTGCACAAAATCGATTTTATCAATTTTTACCATCTGAAATTTACACTATGTTTTTATGTATATGCTCTTAAAAATATCATAAAAATTTCATTGATAAATTTTCAGTAATTAGACTAACATTTTGCAACTAATTTTTACAACCGGGACAGCCGAAACAACGACATAAACCCCATATATTTTGATATGCCAACGCTCAGTCATAAAATCTCAAATACAAAATATGTTGTCATCAAGTCCAGCTCATGTGCTGATTAATTCATTAAAAGTTTCAGTGCTGTTTCAGCAACGCTTTATCAGTTCTCTGAACCCGTTGGATCGTCGATTGGGGCTTCAGCCAAGGGGCTGCGTACCTCACATGACCTCGTGTGGAATGTGTTCCCGTTCGTGGTCAAGAAGTGGCGGAAAACTTTAATGACCCTCAACAGTTCCCTCCGAGGAAATTGGGTTTGATAAAAGAAACAAATAAAATATGGAGTGAATGAGGAAATGCGATGAGAGCGTCACGGTAAACACCAATGGGGAGATAGAGCGAGGAGTAGGGAAATTACAGGCAGACAGGATCAGTCTGTCGGGAAAATAGTGTGGATTCGTCGCGCCTTGGAATATCTCATCGCTGCTTTGTGATGACTAGCCGCGGCTAGTGATTTTACACACGATTGGGACGGAACATTTTACTGCGACAAATCTACATTACTTTCCCGAGAGACTGACTCGTTATGAGCCAACGAAGATGCCTATAAAAGCCTGTATAGAGTCAAGGTCATCCGGAAAAAAACACACCCAAATATTTTGCAGTAATGGAACCTTCCAGAGAAGATGCATTTTGCTTTACCATAAATAAATTTAGAGTGCTTTTTAACGCATAAACTTGTTTTGGGAAAGCACATGTCCTCATAAGAGAAATGCTTGAGACGAATCAGACTGTCGGGAAAATAATGAGCACAATGTCGCCACGCCGATCGCATCGCTGCGATAAAACGCAATTTGATTTTGCCGCGACACATTCCATTTTCTCGGCGGCGATGCTCTTTTTGATGCGACAAAGTTCTCATTATTTTCCCGACCGACTGATAGATACGATTCGCTATCATTTCGTAGCTTGCCTGTATTCCCGAACCCCTTGTCTTTGTCAATCAGCAACTCAACTTTGTTTTTTCATCATTTCGATCCTGTTTTTATAGCGACACCTGGCACTTGCGAGCAGATCATAACTTTTTCCGGTGATTCAGCATCACGCAAATAAAGCAGAGCCAAACTCGAAACTATAATATTAAAAAACAAATTTTGTGCAAAAGTGCTTTATTGCGACGGCCTGTGGATTTGATACGCGAGTGCGAAGAGCCGAAAAATTTTTGCGACAAATCCACATTATTTTCCCGACAGATTGATAGTGAGGATCAGCAAAAAACAACTGTGATAAATTCACCATAGGAACGGTTGCGGTCAGAGGTTTAGTTGGCAAACTGCAAAAGAAAATTGTTATTTCTGCATAACGCGACCCGAAACATCAACAAGTTTTCTAAACGACACGTAACTTAATTTTTTGGAAGTTTCATCGGAAAAAATCTACCTCACATAGAACTTTGTTTCATTTTGTTAACCCTCTTTTGGGAAACCCCTCTCAACTTCCACCGTATCCCGCCTCGCTTTTATAACCCTTTCGCAATCCAAACTCTTGCTCGGAAGGGAGTTCTCAACTTCTATATTTGTCAGATTCGATAAGAGTTATGACTGGAAGCTGTTATTCCGGAAAGTCGGCATTGATAAAAATTCAATAGCCCTCCCCGCTTTGATACACAAACGTTCGCTATCGGCGTGCAAAAACCGCGAGATTTTAAAAGGTTTTTGGAAACTTTTTTGCTCGTTTTTTGCAAGATGTGCAGATTTGGGCCGATCGGGCTGATCGACAGTCTGATCTATAAATGGTATCGGGCGGTGGCCAGAAACGGGCATGTAAGTTGGTTTTTTATTCTATTCTTTGCGATAATATGTATTATAATATACAGTGTAGGGCAGGTGTGGCTGTGGCAAAAACGCATCCAATGAGTCAAGGCCCAAGCATTTTTTTTTAACCGTGACACTTCTTTTCCTGGACTGTATCATCGAGGTATCCTGTGCGTTTCAAACAACACATTTTTTTTAAAACTTTACGTTTTGACTCAAACGAGGAAGTTTCCCGCTGTGTTGGTGAATTTTTTTCTCGTTAAAGCTTCCGAAAAATTAAGTTACGTGTCGTTTTGGAGATTCCTTTATGTTCCGGACCGCGTTATACAGAAAAAAGGAAAAATTTTGCGTTATTCGCAAGGTCAAAAAACTTTTTGAGCTTTGCTTTTCGCACTGCGTAATCAAAACATCGCAGCGCGCAAACCTTTTTCAACTGCGTCGCCCCGAGTTTTGGGGGCGAGCTACAGTCAACTGAACCGTGCAAAAAAAAAAAAACAAAATGCACTGTGCACTGCGACAACAAGTCTCCTCACTTTACGGAAAGCATAGTATCTTATTCCACCAAAATTTTCAGCAGTGACAGCAATCTGAATTTTTGTCATCTGTATCAAACTGAGGGTACCTTTACTGCTTGCAAAAATTCGTCTTTTCCTCTTGCATTTTTTCTAATTTCCCAAACCATTTTTCAAAATCAGTCTGTCGGGAAAGTAATGTGTATACGTCGCAGAAAAAATGTCTTGCCGCAGTCGGGAACTACATATATCTCCAGCCGCGGCAGAGCCAAGGGCAATTCCAAGGCGTAACAATTCCACATTATTTTCCCGACAGGCTGATAAAACTACATATTAGCGATCTACGAAGAAAAAAAACCGTGACGAATTTTTATATCATCCTAAAAGTTTTCCTTCTACGTTTTTATCGATTCTTTTCACAACCAGCACGCTTTTTTAACACTTTATCGATCAAATTTGGTGTTAATGAGTATTTAATTGATCTCTTTGCAAGTTGTTGAATCATTTCAGAAAACCCCGGCTACGGAGCACATCTTTGCCAACTTTTATGCGAGGAAAATTTATGTTGTGCTACACATTTTGTCCATTATTTCACAGTGAGTTTTTAGAAATTTTTGAGGGTAAAATACGCACTGCGTAATTTTTAATGATTACATTTGTTTTAGAATATCATATATAATTTTGCTGTTATGCACAAATCACACATGGCAAACTGCCATCCCATTCCTATGTTTATCATCGTACATATTGACGTATATTGGATTATTTCTACAGAAAAGATTATTTTTACTACCTACTATTGTGCTTGATGTAAGTAATAATTCTATTACTCTTCGCTGTCTTCGAGCTCGGCCTTGGTCGAGCTTTTTTTGAGTAAAAATTCTTCAAAAGGCCTAAAAAAGTGTGTTGTATTCAGAAAAAAAGTCTAGAAAGGGATAAACTTGAGCCCTAACTTGGTATCGAAGAGTATCATAGAGGCGCTAACAGAATGCTATGTTTATCTAACAGACTTTTTGCGTCTTTATGATACCTCGATATCCAATTAGGGCTCGTTTTGACCTAACCTTCCACCTTCTTGTAGCATAGCGCAGGTCAGGCTAGCCTTTCTAGCAAACCACCTCAACTAGTCCGTTCACAAGGTAGCTGGAGTAAATTGGGCGACATGATCTGTGTAAGAATAGCCAGGGATCAAGCGATACCCCGAAAAAAGCCTATTGCACTGTGCAAAAAGCAACAAATGGCACAGTGCAAGACGAACTTTTTTTGTCTCAGCGCATGTCGGAAAAATCACCCCAGCGACGTTACAAAAGGACTAGGATCAGTTTGTCGGGAAAATAATGAGCACAACGTCGCATCGCCGTCGAAAAAATGAATCGTGCCGCAGCAAAATAAAATTTCTTTTCACCTCAGCATTGCGATTGGCGCAGCGACATTGTGCTCATTATTTTCCCGACAGACTATTATTTTAACCAATCCGTTTCCAGTCGATAGTCCCTCTCTACTACTACAGCTTAATGGGTCGATACCTCCATGAGCCCATGGATCACTACCCAACTTTGCATATTGTAATGGGCACCATTGTGGTGTTCAGCGGGATTTTTCAGTGGTTCTTTTTACTGGTCACGCTTCGAGATTACTGCAAAGTGGAAAAGGAGAATGAAGAGGATGATCGTGATTGTTTTTGGGAAATTGCACAGGTAATAATAATAACAATTAGTCGTGATCATTGGTTTCCTTAATGTTTTTAGTCTAAAAAAATTCAAAAATCACAACAAGTAGTTTGATGATCGATGTTTTCGAGGCGGGAAAAGGATGTTTTGAATCGGAATTGTCATCAATTCCGGAGTAATGTTTACTTATTTTGTCGTAAACAAAGGCCTCTTCCGTCCGAGTAAAATGTTAGAGAGAATGTGGCGAATGCGGAAAACTGGGAGTAATTTGATAAGCTAAGGTGTTTACTTTTCCCTTACAAGTCCGTCCGGAGAGCTGGGCTGATTTTGTTCGCATTGTGCAAAAAGGTCAGGATGTGAAGGACGGCCCAAACAGTGCAAAAAGCAAGAAACTTTACAATGCAAAGCAAGCGTTTGTTTTCGCAAAACGCGTGTCGCCGATTTCAGTGCGGCGACCTTCCGAAGAAACTGTCAGCCAGTCGAGAAAACACAGTAAGGGACCTGATCCATTGGCAAAAAAGGTATCATTTTGCATCCGGGAAGTATCAAAAATGTGGCAAAATACCTCCTTCTACAACTATAAAAAACTCAGTTTTGAAAGGCGCGCCTTTTTCTTCACAAAAAGAATATGCACGCTTTTGAAACCGGAGTTTTTTTCACTTGGAGAGGGAGGTATTTTACCGCATTTTTGATACTTCCCGGATGTAAAATGGTACCTTTTTTGCCAATGGATCAGGTCCGCCTCGGTAATTTGGATTTGAATTTATTCGTTATAGTAGGATTTCGTTGGGCGGAGGCGTGCCATGGTCTAAGATTGACCCTAGCGACCTTTGAAATTGTTCGTTATAGACAGGTTTCGTTATATGTGTACGTGAGTTTGTTGTACCGAGGTATCGAGACTCATATCGCTGCCGAGAAAACGAATTGTAGTCGCTGCAAAATCAAAATTTTTTTTTCGGTTCAGCGACGCGATCGGCGTAGCGGTATTGTGCTCATGATTTTCCTGACAGACTGATAAGAAAGCCGGAACTTTGCAGACCCAAAGAAAATAAAACGGACACTAACTGTACCCGCATACGACGTGATGTACAGTAAAAGATGCCATAGATACGATTTCTTCCATGAAATGAGTTTCTGTTATTTGTAGCCCTATTCCAAACTAGCAATGCTGCGACGTTCCCTTTCACTTCAAATTTTACTTTTCGTACTTTGTATTGGAATATTGTATTCTTGATTTGTACCATCACAACCTGAAAGTCACGCTTCGGGACTTTCTCGTGTTAAATTTCCATAAACTTGCAAAATAGAGAAAAGATGTCATATCTCCTTTCATTGACGTCATTTCTCCGCCAAAAAATTGCATTACGTGTGGGTGGACAGAAGCCTGATAACACATCACGTTTAGCAAAAAAATATTGAAAAAGGCGTGCCTCGAGGTTGAGGCTTTGTCTCAACGATTGATAACTCTAACCGACTTCCAACTGCTTTATTTTTGCAGTTTAAAGGGCTCAATTCTTTCAGATCTACCTGATAATACTTCTGTTCCCATTGTTTCTATACTTCTTGTACTACGACAAGAAGCCGGAATGTGGGTTCCTCGGATTCGTGAGGAAACAATCGTTCCAACCGCGGGGCAGAGCCAGAACCAAGAATCGAGAGGACAGCACACATAACCACAAATTCAGCGTGATAAGCTGCAACAGATTCAACTCGATGTTGAGCTCGACGCCGTGATCTCAGGATGACTGTGAATGAGAGCCTTTACATAATTGTACATAATGCGTTGTAGATAGACAGAAATAAAGAGAAAAGGTCAAGGCTAGAAGGAAATCACAATGTCGGGGAAATAATGTAGATTTTTTGCATGTTGGAATCGACTATCATCGCGTTGCAACGGCTGGAGATTTGCTGCACGGCCGCGACAAGGGAGACATCTTTCTGCGGCAAATCCACATTATTTTCCCGACAGGCTGATATGTAGTATCAACAAAAAACAAGCTAAGGTAGAACCAGAAGTTTCGGCTAATTCTCTTGAAACAACGGCTGTGGGAAATTCACCGTAGAAACGGCGAGAAAATGAGGTGAAGCATTGGGTTTCGAATGCCATTCGCTTCGAATACTCGGCGTAGAAAAGTTTCTTTACCGAAAGCTTGTCTATCATAACTATTCATATGGAAATTCTACTATAGAAATATTAATGTCTAGCTGATCCTCCAGTCATGTCAGGAAAAGTGAGTTTCTCAAAAAAAAGAAGGAAATCCGATTTCTAAGCTACAATAAGTAACAACTCTGTTCTACAGACTAATGAGACCTTCATACCGGAGTAAATCGAGCTCCATAATTTCAGAAGAAATCCGACCTCCGTGAAAACCTCTATCAAGGCGCGGATGGCAAGCATTACATGCTCTACAACTTGGTGGACATGCACGGCGGAGGAGACTTGATTCCTTGGATGCGACATGCAATGAAAAGCGGGGACTTCTCCCTTCTGGATGGGTATCTGGAAGGCACGGTAATGGTACAGTTTTACGCTCCAGAGCATTAGTATAGCACTAACACTGAATTTTAGATCAAATGCAATATCGAATTTACAGGTCCGCGATATGATGTACAATAACGGAAAAGGTCGGATCGAATCAGTCTCAGAGTTGGTGAAACGAAGGAATAAGGAGAGAAACGAAAGGCTTGGAGCGTTCTCCAGGAAGAAAGGAAAGGGAAAAAGTGGTCCAAACATTCTGGATAATCTTGATGGGGATGTGAATCAGCAGGATTTGAAGAAAGGTACAAAATCGTTAGCTATTAGTCGCCTGGAACAGACTAGTAATCCGGGAAATGCAATTTTTTCTACCACTATTTATGTTGCCTTCCTACTTTCAGCCCTGAAACTTCTGGACGGCGGAAAAGGTGGGAAAGGAGATGCCAAATACCGTGAGATTGCGTGGAAGTACGAGGCACGCGGCTCGATGGGAGAAACTCTCGTCGGCTGCTGTCTAATGCAAGGAACCTTGGTGCATAACCTTTTGGCCATGCGCCTTATGGAAATGTATCCTCCATTGATCAACGACATCTTCATTTCGGAAGATTATTATGGCTTGTCGCCGCTGCATCAAGCCATTGTCAACGATGACCCGAAAATGTTGTACTTTCTCATCCAACATGGCGCAGATATCAATCAACGCTGCTATGGGGCGTTCTTTTGTCCGGACGATCAGATCAGCTCCAGGACCGACTCGTTGGAGCATGAATATGTGGATGTCGATGTGGAGACCAATTATCAAAAGTGAGGTGACATTATAAGCCTTAAACTTCTTTCAGCCGAATGTATTTCGGAGAGTATCCGTTGTCATTCGCTGCATGCATCAACAATTTCGACTGTTTCAAGCTGCTTAGAGCCAAACGAGCCGATCCTAACAAGCAGGACACAAACGGCAATACTGTCTTGCATATGACTGTAATCCATGAAAATATTGTAAGATCAAAGCCAAACAACTGAATATGAATGTGTTCTAGGACATGTTCTTACTGGCCTACGAAGGTGGCGCCAAGCTTCAAGTCCTCAACAAGCAGAACTTGACGCCGCTGACTTTATCCGCATTTCTGGCCAAGAAAACGGTAAGCACGACAGTTCAGCCAAAACACGTTTTATAATCAATAATTCTGCCTTCAGATGTTCGATCACCTGCTCAAAATCGAAAGTCAGATTCTTTGGGAACGAGGAGGAGCCGTCTCCGTCTCCTACCCTCTAGCAAAGATCGACTCAATCGATCCGGATACCGGAGCTCTCAACGATTATTCCGTACTGTCTCTGGCTGTGTATGGAACCAGTTCAGACCATCTGGACCTTCTTGATGGCCTACTTGAAGATATTTTGAAAGCCAAGTGGAAGTCATTTGGACTCACAAAGTAAGCACGGATAACTTAGCAGATCCACAACCACCAACGTATTTTACCGCAAACTCCATTTTTCAATAATATTGCTTTAGATGGACCCAATCTCTCCTACTTTTCACCGTGTACTGGAGTTTCTTTGTTGCCGCCTTCCTCACTCGTCCAATTTCCTGGACAACAGCGGTCATTTCAAACTTCAAGCTGCTTCCAGACATGCAGGAAAGCAATATCACAGACTCGCAGTATAATCAAAGTTTTGCAACTAGCGCGCAATGTCATCTAATCCATTACTCAACGCAAGGACAGCAGGGATATGTAAGAAGCTGTCAGTGATAAAACCTTTGTCTTAGGCCCGTATGATACTGGAGCTCTTAACAATAACTCTGGCCGTTTACCAAATCGCAGTGCAGGTGAAATACATTCGCGCGGAGGGATGGATGAAATGGTGGAAGATCATGGTAAGTCTAGGGATCAAATCCGACAATAAGTCGGCTGATAACACAACAAAACCCCGCATGAAAAACAAGCCATTTTCAGCGAGCTTTCCCCGCGAAGATCCTATTTTTCACCTCATTGTTCCTCGTCATCCTCATCATACCCATACGATTTCTCTGCTTCGTTCATGAGGTCTTCCTCACAGCCGATAATGTCATCAGCGTTGTGAGTGTAGTCCTCTGCACGGTCCACTATCTCTACTACTGTCGAGCCATCAAATTTATCGGGCCGTTCGTGTTGATGATCTACACAATCATCATGAGAGATCTCATTCGATTCTTCTTGATTTATTTTGTATTCCTGTTGGGTTTCTCGCAAGCATTTTACATCGTATTTCTGGCCGGCGAGCGGATTAATAATCGGATCTATGCGCACCAAGTCGAGCAGTGGAATAGGGCTCATGGAAGTATGTTTTGTAAGTTTCCAATGGCAATAACCATCTATTACATCGATAATGATCCTCAACTTTCAGATGACACTGATGACTACCCAGTTAAACATCAAAATATCATGTCGAATCCGATCGAATCCTTCCTAAGACTGTTTATTTGCACTATTGGGGAGTTTACTACCTTCTACAAGGAGCTGAATGCAAACCCTGTTTTTGAGATGGCAGTGCTCGGCAAGATATTATTCTTGATCTTCGAGTTGGTTGTCAGTCTTATGCAGTTCAACTTGCTGATTGCTATGATGAGTAGGACGTACGAACTCATCTTCCGGACTCAGAAGGAGTATAAACGTCAGGTAATAGGGCCAAAATTTCAGAGAATACGGCGGAAATCTTTCGTAAGAACAAAGGCGCGAAGAATCCACATTATTTTCCCGACAGACTGATAAATATTTTTTATCATATCTCTGTCTCTTTCAGTGGGCCCAAGTCATCCTGCTTCTGGAGATGTCTATCACGGCTGAAGAGCGTCGCAACCATCTGCTCCGCTACTCCCGACCCATCGGCACGGACAAACGGAAACGCGCTTTCGTTGTCATCAAGAAAGCCGAGGTTTTGAGCGAAAGCGAGAGAATTTTAAAAATGAAGGAGGAAGAAGCCAAACGCTTGGAGAAACAACAATTTCTGAAGCGGCGGCTTCGAGGTTGGCTCGATCATCAACAAGGAGGAGCAACACCGTTTCCCGGAGGTGATCGACAACCGTCAAGGGCTAATGTCAAGGACTCAAACACTCTGGCACCATCCTGAATAGACGATATCAAAAAGGATTCCCAACAGCGAATGACGGAGCGTATACTGTATCTTACCCTTGGAACATTTGAGTAAAATAATAACAACAATTGATTTCAAAGTAATTAGTAGTGTAAAATGAGTCGTAATTTTTTGAGGGAATATTAGCGACTGGGGGCAGTCGATGGTGCTGATTTCGAAAGCATAGCTTTGGGTGTAATATTGGCTGTAACATGAGTGCCAACAGTCCTTCCGATCAAGGCTAAACTTCTCCGAATTTGTAAAACGTGCTATTGCCATTAAGCCAGAGCCGTCGGGAATTATGCCAAAAAGAAGTTTAAAATAACAAAAAACAAACTATGTTTTCGAAATCAGCACCATCGAATACCCCAGCCGCCAATATTCACTCAAGAAATTACCACTCATTTTAGACTACTAACTACTTTAAAATAAATTTTTGTTATTATTTATCACAAATTTACTAAAAATTATACTTCCTAACAATAAATAAAACTCATTCTCTTCAAATAAAACGTTTTTTCCAATGAAAAAATCATTTTTTATAAAAATACTCTTGTTTTTTTATGAAAAGAATTTTTATTTCCAAGCGAAAAACATTTCCCTCCATAAAAGTACTTTCCTTGTTGTGCCAGACAGGCGAAAAAGTATTTACATGTCTGCAGAGTGCAGCGCCGCGTTCGGCCGCCTTCCTCGTTAGACCCAAAGGTCAAACTTTTGGGTTTTCTTTTTCTTGTTGATATGACTTATCTATCAGTCTGTCGGGAAATAACCTGGATTTGTCGCAGCAAATGGCCCGTCTCGGCGGAGCCAACCCCAGCAGCCGCGGCTTAAAAATAGCCGATTTTTAGACGCGAAAAATCCACAGTATTTTCGCGACAGAAGGCGGGGAAAAACTAAATATGGCTGCAATCCGGGCCGGGCCTGCAAAATTTTGAAAGCCCAGCCCTTTTTCCGGATTAAGAGAAAGGAGTCCCCCGAACTATTCTGCACAGAAGAATCCCTTCCGGAACGCCAGACGTTGTTTTCGTCTTCTTGACGTAATCTTGCAATGTTTTTGGGTGTTCTCGAACCTCCCATTCTTTTGAAAATTCTCAAGGACTTTTGGCGGGTAATTCTGTGATAGAAACTGAAATATAAATAGTTTGATGTACATTCCGTATCAAATTCGTTGTAAAATCGCTATTGTTCTGTAACAGATTTTTTTCTCGCGTCATCGGAGAGACTATTTTTCGGCGGAGACTTTTGACGCCTTTTGTTAAAACTTTCTGCAATATTTCGTCAAACATGACAAAAAAATTTCCCCCATTTGCTATTATAAAAATCGTTTCTGATGCATCAGCTGATGTATCTACTGCAGGTTTCTTTATATTGCACGTGTATTTATCGTGAAATTATGTAAATTTTGCAATTACCCAAAAATTTCAGCCATCAGCTCATTGGGAATAAATCACCCTTTTTTCATCAACTCTCCTGTAACCAGCAATGACGTCCAGCAAAACCCTATCAATATCCACTCCAGATAGCCCTCCAACAAGCCCTACACCGACCAAACCATCCAGAGGATTCCGTTATCTCATTCTGTTTATAACCACCGCTTGCCTGACTTCAATATACTCCAACATGGTAGCGTTCCACGTAACCATGCTGTGCAGTGACAATGGAAATATGACACACTCCGTAGCTGACAAAGAACAGCAAAACAAGAACTCAATTTTACTGTGGGCCGTGTCAATAGGAAGCATCGTAGCTACGGTTCCATTCAACTTGTTGTACGGTCGTTTCGGCGCTAGATGGGTTTTCTTTGGCGCTGGTAAGTTACACAAAATATGCAGCCTTAAAGTGCTTCCCAATGGATATAGAAGGTATTTTTACTGTCTCTAAATACCTCGGCTATGACCAAGATAGTGCTCACCTTGATAATACACTTTTGTCCAGCGACATATTTACTTGTCGGGAAAATAATGTGGATTCATCGCGCCTGGTAATCACGCATCATTACATTGCTAGGGCTCGCCGCCGCTGGAGATTTGGTACGCGACTGCGACGTGAAACTTTGCTGCGACAAATCCACACATTTTTACAGACAGACTGACAGTTTTTGCCATCGAACCCTCTGTTTCATGGGCCCGGGCGCCCTAAGCAACAGCCAATACATTATACACAAATTTTCAGGTGTAATCTCGTTCGTCAGCACAGCCCTAGTCCCAGCCTCCGCGGACCTCAGTTTTTACACATTCATTATCATTCGGTTTTTCCAGGTAAAATAAACTTTTGGTTTTAGAAAACCCAAGATAATTATGCCTTATTTTAAAACCAAGATAACTGTGCGTATTTTAAAACTAGTCTTATAGGGTGTGGCATTCGGATCCAGTTTCTCGGCCGTTGGAATGGTCTGCTCTCGTTGGGCCGCTCTGGATGAAAATGGATTCTTCCTCTCGGCAATGACAATTTTCTGTCAAATTTCGGTCATCCTTACAAATCCGGTCGCAGGTTGGGTAAGAGGAACATTTCATTTTTTTGTAATTTAAATCTCAATCTGTCGGGAAAATAATGTGGATTTGTCGCAGCAGAATATCTTGTCGCAGTAGCACACCAAATCCAAATTATTTTCCGAGAGATACAAGTCTGATTATAAAGTCGTTGGATTGATTTCGGCGACATGCACTGTATGTCGTCGAAATCGCTCTAACTCACATTATGGCACAATATTTCAGCTCTGCGTCTCGCCGCTTGGCTGGCGCTCAGTTTATTACTTCCACGCGGCCGTTGACCCCATTCTTTTTGGTCTTTGGATATGGCTCTACACCGACTACCCAGAACACCATAAGAAGGTTAATGATGGTGAAAAGAAAATAATCATGGCTGGAAAGAATAGTGGGGAGAGGAAATTGGATGGCTTTTTGCCTTATAAAGTAAATTTCGACAAAGAAGCTTTAGAGCTCTAAATTTAGGAAATTTTCACTAACAAGGTCGTTCTCGTTGTGTGGTTCAACGCTATCGCCAGCATTATTTCGGCCATCTTCTTGCTGACTTATTTCCCAACCTACCTCAAAGACGTGCTTGGTTACCCGTTGGAAACGGCGGCCGTTTTGAGCATGTTCCCAGCGCTGTCTCATGTCCCAGCAAAACTGGTTTTTGGCTGGGTTTTCGATAAGCTACGGTCAGATTTACACAATCATTACCCAGTTACTATTTGCTTTCTTATCTAGCCATCTAACTGAGAGTAAGCCCAAATCGTTTCAGCTGCATCAGCGAAGTGAATAAGATGAGAATATGCAACACAATCGCTCTAAAATTCTCTGGAATTCTCTTTATTGTCGCTGGATTTATCCCCAATTCCATGGCTGGTTGGTCCGTGGCGTGTACCACTTTGAACTACGCGTTTATCGGAGCAAATTGCGCTGGGTTCTATAAATGCGGGTCTTTGGTGTCTAGGTAAGTTATCATTAACACCTAATATCACATTTTACCCCCATCAATGCTCACATTTCAGGCAATACTCGCACTTTGTCATCGCAAATATTCAATTTCTCAAGTGTGTATCCTTCTTTGTCTCTCCCTTGCTGGTATACTTGTTTGTTTCGGATCAATCAAGCCGCGATCAATGGAGAATAATCTACTTTATCATGGCTGCCTTTCTGATCATCGGGAACACGCTATTTTTAATCGTTGTGACCGATCAGCCAGCAGAATTCACAAAGATCAAGAAGCCGAATTCTAAAGCCGAATTTGACGAGAAGAATGAGAAATTAATCGAAGGTGGGGCAGATTCACCATGAAAGGAATGTCAACACGTCTTCTACTATGTGCCTATTAGCATATGTTTCACAACGGGTCTTAATAAATCAAAAGTACTGTATTCACACGAGAAGCCGTTTCCGTCTCCTACCCTCTGGCTAAGACCGGCTCAACTGATATTAATATCGACACCCTCAACGATTATTCCGTACTGTCTCTGGCTGTCTATCTAATCAGTTCGGATCATCTAGATCTCCTGGATGGCCTACTTAAAGAAATTTTGAATGCCAAAGAGGAGGCCATGCGGACTCACAAAGTAAGGCTGAAGCACTTAAAATGTCCACAACCACCAACGTATAGCTTCGCAAACTCGACATTCTATTGCTTTAGATGCACTCATTCTCTCCTACTCTTCACCGTATACTCTAGTTTCTTTGTTGCCGCTTTCCTTACCTCGTTGCGCTCATTATTTCCCCGATAGATGGATAACAATAAGTCGGCAAAAAACATCACGAAATCCCACACATGAAACACAAGCTATTTTCAGCTTTTGGCGGTCCACGGCATTCTGTACTTTTGAGACACAACCGATCTCCGCGGCTTTTTCAATTTTTTTCGGAAGCGCTTGCGTTTTCTCTCCATATCTCGCTAGCCGTTTGCGCTAGAACGCTGAAATTTGGTATGGCAGTAGAGTGAAAAGCTGGCTTTCAGAAAATATAGGATCGCGGTCTTATTCTTCACCTCGTTGTTTCTCATCATCCTCATAATCCCCTTACAATTTCTCGGATACATCAATTTCCAGCGGCTGATACTAGTCCGTTTGCAAAGTCGATGGAGTGATTTTGGCAGCAAGCACTGTGCGAAAACAAAAGTTTGCTTCACATTGTGCAATTTATTGCTTTTTCTCACGAAATGACTTTTCTGGGCTGTGACTCGCACCCTGACTTTTTCTTCACAGTGGAAACGGCAGACATAACTCCAGCGACTTAACTAACGGACTACTAGAGCTTCTACTACATCCTAATATTGTCACATCACATTTTGCAACTCTTAACCCCAGTAGCAATATTACCTTTGCAAATAAACGCAGAAACAAAGACCTCGGGGATTATTTGCGAACAAAACAGTAAAAACATTTGCTGTTCTAGCGCAATGGAGGCTAACATAACTGAATAAACACTACTGGTTATCTACCGGGGTAATGGTTGGAGGTATTTATACGCTTGATTTTTGAAAAGCGGTTCTTTGGATCAAACGTTTTATAAAGTTCATGTTTGGTTGAGGCTTTGTTTCATATGTTTAAAAATTTATATAATTGATCTATCATAAAGATTCAAATTTAATGAGTCAGAGGTTGGATCACTGTCAGATTATTCATTTCTGGGTTAATTTATTTTATATCGTACAAAATTCAGTGCTTTCGACGTTGAATGAGTTGTTCTACCACCGCGCTTTTCCTGTTAGGAGATGCGGATTTACATATTCATGTCAAAGGTCGCTCAACAGTTCTCGCGTAATAAAATTTTGTTGTATCAGTGATCAGTGTTCTCACAAGCTTCAAAGGAGATTAAAATTGACAAGGGAAGTGCGACGCTCAGGTTTCTTTAAATTTTGCATACATAGGATACAGAGCACATATCAATTGCAAAAAATTTTTAGCTCGCGCAGTTTTGCGGCCGAGAGACTACGCGAAATGAGGATTTTCTGTAAAGCACGAATTATGAAACGATTCCCATAAAAAATCCCAAAAATTTTTAAGGATCAACGATTTTTCCCAATTCAGGCGCCAAAATTATCACTAATGCACAACGCACATCGACTAACCCCGTAGAAAAATTATGGTGATCTGCACATGAAATGCATCCCCAAATCTGCACCTAAACTCTTCAACTCCCTTATTATTTATTTTTCCCTCTATAATATTACCAATCCCATACTCCTTCAACACTTTACACGATTAAGTTCACAACCTTTTGAACTACGAACGTCACCCCGATCATACGTATGCTCTCGCTTCTCTCACTCGCTTCCATTACTAGGAACCATGGGAATATCGCGTTTGAAAAAATCATAATAAACGTGTTTTATTTTATACTAGAGGGACTAAAAATTCTAGACATGTGTGCATAGTGTACCGCCGCGCAAAGCCTTGTCGCAACTGGACGGCTTGCCACAGCTGGATACATGCGCGATAGCACCCTTTTTTGGCGAGGCGAAACATTTTGCTTAACAATATGGTTTATCCGCGGAATTGGACTAGTTCGTCCATTCCTCATCAAAGTCGTTGCCAAATCGCTATTTTTTAAGCGGTCCATGAGTTTGTTTTACAAGCCGCTCTAATCTTGCATGTTTTTTTACAAAAACAAACCGTGTCCTCCAGTTCAGTACATCAGTTATCATGTTTTTGCACAATTAATGCTTTGAAAATATTGTTCAACATGATTTCTCATTCCATTGTCAAACCGCACGTATTTGTTGTACCTATATAATATAATATAAAATTTGTTGACGTCCTTTGTAGTCCCTATGAGTTTTTTATTATTAAAAAAAAGGAGTTCTACCAAAATTCTCCTGAAAGTTCACTTTGCCAATTTCTACCTAAAATCGCGGTCGTTTCCGCAATGGCCAAACAGGGTTTCGTCTTAAAAATATTATTCTAAACTTGTGCCAAATTTCATTCAAACCTGAGCGTCGCAATTGGAGTACTTCCCCTGTAAGGTCTTGCTTCTTTTTTAAACCCACATAGTAGGCGCTTAGGAGTCATAAAATACTCAAATCATGATTCTACTCCTCCTTATTTGCAAAAAGTTGTTTCTGATGTATCTACTGTAGGGTTCTTTATATTCTAACTTTATTTATCGAGCAATTTTGGAAATTTACGAGTAATAAAACACTTTCAAACAATTTCAGCCATCAGCTCACTGGGAATAAATCACCCTTTTTTCATCAACTCTCTCGTAATCAGCAATGACGTCCAGCAAACCCCTATCAATATCCCCTCCAGATACCACCCCAACAACCACTACACCGACAAAACCATCCAAAGGATTCCGTTATCTCATCTTATTCTTAACCACCGCTTGTCTGACCTCAATATGCTCCAACATGGTAGCATTCAACGTTACCATGCTGTGCAGTGATAATGGAAATATGACACGCTCTGTAACGGATAAAGAACAACAAAACAGAAACTCAATTTTACTGTGGGCCGTGTCAGTTGGAAGCATTGTAGCTACCATTCCATTCAATTTGCTGTACAGTCGTTTCGGCGCTAGATGGGTTTTCTTTGGCGCGGGTAAGCTACATTACATACTTTATAACAACCTTGTCCTGGACAATAGCTAATAGCTCATACACTAATTTTCAGGTGTAATCTCGTTTATCAGCACAGCCCTCGTCCCAGCCTCCGCTGACCTTAGTTTTTATACATTCATCATTATTAGATTTTTCCAGGTAAAATTAGTGTTTCATTTTAGACTGTTCAAAACCTGATCTTATAGGGTGTGGCATTCGGAGCCAATTTCGCTGCCATTGGAATGGTCTGTTCGCGATGGGCAGCGCTGGATGAAAACGGATTCTTCCTCTCGGCAATGACCATTTTCTCTCAAATTTCGGTCATCATCACAAATCCGGTTTCAGGTTGGGTAAGATAACCATGTCTTATTGCAATTTCAATATCAGTCTGTCGGGGAAATAATTCGGATTTGTCGCGGCAAAAGGTCTCGCCTCGTCACACACCCCAATGGCTAGTCGTCCAAATCAATGATGGGCAACTCCCAAGCGCGACTAATCCACGTTATTTTCCCGACAGAGTCATATATCGCTCAATACTTTAGCTCTGCGTCTCACCGCTGGGCTGGCGCTCCGTTTACTACTTCCACGCAGCAGCTGACCCCATTCTTTTTGGCCTTTGGATATGGCTCTACACCGACTATCCAGAATATCATAAATCGGTGAACAACACCGAAAAAGACATAATCATGGCTGGAAAGCATTACGGGGAGAGAAAATTGGATGGCTTTTTGCCTTATAAGGTAAATTTCGACAAAAAAGTTTTGAAATCTAAATTTAGCAAATTTTCACTAACAAAGTCATCCTCGTCGTGTGGTTCAACGCTTTCGCCGACATTATTTCGGCCATCTTTTTGCTGACCTACTTCCCAACCTACCTCAAAGACGTACTTGGATACCCGTTGGAAACGGCGGCAGTCTTGAGCATGTTCCCAGCTATGTCCCATGTCCCAGCTAAACTGATTTTTGGCTGGGTTTTCGATAAATTACGGTCAGCTTTATGCAATCATTACCCCAGTTACTATTCGCTTATTCTCATCTAAGCATGGCTGCAAACCGGGCCAGCCCGGCCCGGGCCTGCGGGCCGGGCCTAAATCTCCAAGCCGGGCCCGGGCTTGGAAAATTTGGAAAGCCCGGTTCGGCCCGGAAAAAATTTTCCGGCCCGGTTCGGCCCGGAAAATTTTTGAACTAGGTTGGAAAGAAAGAAAGCAAGAGATGAAGGGAAAATTATGGCACATTTTCACAAAATGTAAACAATAATGTAGCAAAACCTATACATATGCAATTGCCGCTTGACTATTTTATAAATTATTAAGTCGCCATATATTTTCTTACCATATGGTTACAAAAAATCATAAGCTTTTGTGTAGAGCCACCCAAATTTTAGCAAAAATATTTTATCACAGATCTTTTGTCGGATCTGAAAAAACCTACAAGCGTATTGCGTATTTTTGAAAATTTTTCCTTTTTCTTTTTTTGCCAGCGTATTAACTATGAGGTCGCACTTAAGAAATTCTGAAAATTTTTTCAAATTGACTGGAAAATTATTTTTTAATTTGGGCGAGTGGTAAATAAGGTCACTTTACGTTCGCTATCAGCATTGTGTTCGAAAAAATGAAAAAATCTAACGAAACCCCTATTTTTCCTTTTTTTCCCGGGCAAAATCCAGATTTCAAAAAAACCGGGCCTGAAAATCGAAGCCCGGGGTCGGGCCGAGAAATTAGTCGGCCCGGCCCGGGCCGGAAAATTTTGGAAAGCCCGGCACGGAGCCATGCCTATTCTCATCTAGTCGTCTAGCTGAGTGTAAACGCAAATCGTTGCAGGTTCATCAGCGAAGTAAATAAGATGAGAATCTGCAACACAATTGCTCTAAAAGGCTCCGCGATTCTCTTTATTGCCGTTGGATTTATCCCGAACTCCTTGGCTGGTTGGTCCGTGGCGTGCACCACCTTGAACTACGCGTTTATCGGAGCAAATTGCGCTGGGTTCTATAAATGCGGGTCTTTGGTGTCTAGGTAAGTTATTAACCTTTTCTCCCGTATTTTACCCCCATAAACACTCAAGTTCAGGCAATACTCGCACTTTGTCATCGCAAATATTCAATTTCTCAAGTGCATATCGTTGTTTGTCTCTCCGTTGATGGTCTACTTGTTTGTTTCGGATCAATCAAGCCGCGATCAATGGAGAATAATCTACTTTATCATGGCTGCCACGCTAATCATCGGGAATACGCTATTTTTAATTTTTGTGACCGATCAGCCAGCAGAATTCACTAAGATCAACAAGGCGAATTCTAAAACCAGTTCAGGCGAGAAGAATGGGAAATCACTTGAAAATGGTACAAATTCACAATGAAAGGGATGTCAAATGTATTCTACGATGTGCATATCAGTATTTGTTTCATAACGGGTCTTAATAAATCAAAAGTATTGTATTCGTAATTATCGCTATTTCTGCGCTTTTTCGAAAGTTCGTAGACTCTTTTCGCGGCGCACCGGGCATTTTGCTTCTTTGTGCAAAAAGTCTACACATGTTGAAAAAGAACAATAAACGTTTCCTATTTCTGTTTCCTCTCAACCTAGCACAACTCCTACGTTTCCGATCCCAACTCCTTTCTGGGTGCGACTGCCTAACCCTCTAATCAAAAAGTATTTCGTGCTCCGTCATAAGGACCCTCACGATAACAAACTGTTCCATTCTTTCATTATTCCGATTATTTCAGGGAGCGGCAAGAAAACAAGATAAAAATCAATGTTCGGCTCTTTTACAACAAAATTAATTGCCTTTACGTTTTGTGCGGAAACTAGAAATGCCATCGGCTAAGATTTTCGCTGTGGATGAAAATGAAGCCCCATCGACTCCATCCAAGTCATCCAGAGGGTTCCGATATTTCATATTATTCTTGACTATGTGTTGCCTGACCTCAATATGCTCGAACGTGCTAGCATTCAATGTCACAATGCTATGCCGAGACGATGGGAACATGACGCACACTGTGACCGACAAGGCGGAGCAAAGTCGAAACTCAAAGCTACTGTGGGCAATGTCAATTGGAAGTATCTTGTCAACGTTCCCGTTTAACTGGCTGTATGGCCGCTATGGGGCGAGATGGGTCTTCTTTACGGCTGGTAAGTTAACATATGTTATCTTTGTGTAGCTCCGAAGCTGTTCCGGAAAGCAAAACAGTCGAGAAAGAGATCCAGGAGACGCCAAATCTCGTATCAAAAGGTATCACAGGGACGAAAAAATGCAGCCTCATTTTTTCGTCCCTGTGATATCTTTTGATATCAAAATTCGTGTCTCGTGGAACAACGGTCGGAAGTCCTGGTTCGTTCGAAAAGTTGCTGGAGTAATTTCGGTGACATTACATATTTCATGTCGCCGAAATCACCCCAGCGACTTTGCGAACGGACTTGTATATAATGACGTTTATTTCGGCTTCTAAATCCATTCATATCTTTGATACAACCCCAATAAGGAACAAAAAACCAAACTAACCCAACATTTTCAGGTGTGATCTCTTTCTCAAGTACGGCTCTGGTCCCCGCCGCCAATGATCTACACCTATATGCATTTCTAGTGATCAGATTCTTCCAGGTAATCCATATTCCCATATTTTGCCAATATGAAAGTCTCCTGTTTTACAACCTCTACTTTCAGGGCGTATCATTTGGAGCCAATTTCGCGGCCATTGGAATGGTCTGTTCGCGATGGGCAGCACTGGAAGAAAACGGGTTTTTCCTCTCGGCGATGACCATTTTCTCCCAAGTTTCGGCCGTCATCACTAATCCTATTTCTGGAGAGGTAAGGATCCTTTTTACAACTGATTCCAATTTTACACTCTGACTCGCTAAAATATACCGCTCAATATTTTAGCTCTGCGTCTCACCGCTTGGCTGGCGCTCCGTTTATTACTTCCACGCGGCCGTTGGCCCAATTCTCTTCGGTCTTTGGATATGGCTATACACCGACTATCCAGAACACCATAAGAAAGTTAATGATAGTGAGAAGAGAATAATCATGACTGGAAAGCAAAGCAATGAGAGAAAATTGGATGGCTTCTTGCCTTATAAGGTAAGCCCCGACTAATAGCAAAGCCCGCCGTAAAAATTCGTATCAATCCTCCCATTAATGTTCTCAAACCCGCATTTTCAGCAAATTCTCACCAACAAAGTGGTACTGGTCGTTTGGTTCAACGCATTCGCCGATATTATCTCATCAATTTTCTTGCTAACCTACTTCGCGACCTATCTGAGAGACGTACTCGGATATTCGTTGGAAATTTCGGCTACGCTGAGCATGTTCCCACCCTTGGCTCATATTCCGTCTAAACTATTTTTTGGTTGGGTTTCCGATCGGATAAAGTGAGGGCTCTAGCTCTATCTGGAGGCTATCCGCCAGAAAAAATTGCTACAGTGACGGACCTGATCCAGCGGCAAAAAAAGTACCATTTTGCATCCGGGAAGTATCAAAAAATGTAGCAAAATGCCTCTCTCTCCAAGTGAAAAACTTTCGTTTTGAAGGGCGCGATTTTGAAATCGCACTTTTTCACTTGGAGAGAGAGGTATTTTGCAACATTTTTTGATACTTCCTGGGTGCAAAATAGTACGTTTTTTGCCGCTGGCTCAGGTCCCCCCACTGTACATGGACAGTCCAATCTATAATTTTTTGCATATAATTTGACGTTCTAAAAACGAAAATTAGTAGTAAATCAAAAATTTTTGACCTTTTGCAATATTATCCATGGCAAAAATTAATAAATTCTTGCCTTTTCTTTCCCCAAACACTCCAAATTTTTACCAAAATCCCTTTTAGATTCCTCAGTGAAGTGAATAAGATGCGGATATGCAATACAATCGCCCTGAAAGGCTCTGCGATTCTCTTTATTGCCGTTGGATTTATCCCCAACTCATGGGCGGCCTGGTCCGTGGCTTGTACCACCTTGAACTACGCGGTAATTGGAGCAAATTGTGGGGGTTTTTACAAGTGTGGCTCTCTTGTTTCAAGGTAAACTAGCAAAAAAATAATTTTTTATATAGCTAAATGCAAATTCCAGGCAATACACGCACTTTATCATTGCGAATATCCAATTTCTCAAGTGCGTTTCGTTCTTTTACTCCCCTCTGATGGTCTACTTGTTTGTTTCGGACCAGTCGGATCGCGATCAGTGGAGAATCATCTACCTAATTATGGCTGGGACCTGCATTGTGGCCAATATTTTGTTCCTAATCTACGTTACCGATCGGCCTGGGAACTTCACACAGATCAATAAGGCCAATTCGAAGGAAAATTGGAATGCAAAAGGCGAAAAAATTGTCAAACAGTCCTCAATTTCGGGCTAAATTAAGATAAAGATTATATATAAAACACAGTAAAAGTGCTTTTACTTTTGAATAGATGAGATTTGTATAACAAAGAAACGATTTTTAGAAGTTTTAGGAGTTTTTGCAGTAACCAAACCATCGCAACATTGCAATTGTACCAGCGAGCAGATTTTCTGCAAAAATCAAAATTTTTCAAGTTTTAGATCAGCCAAAGATGACATCCATGGTTTAAAAATGTAACCAACCTCATTCCTCATCCCATTGGAAGGTCTTCGGTTCGTAATTCGTATAACAACAGAAGATATTTCCCAATTTCGAGTTGTGCTCAGGATGGAAATTGGTCATTCGCACGTTGAACAACTTTTTGACCTGTAAAACGACACCAAATCACCTCTAGAGTCGAATTATCGACGAATTCACCTAAAAACCAAACCAAAAGAAAAGAAATTACTTACAATTTCCTCCATTTTTGCTGCAGTACAATATATTATTGGCGAATCTTTCTCTTTGGCCAATACGCGCATCGTCTGAGCGTATTTTACAGCACACTCATCGGAAAGGTGAGGAGGATCGACAACAATAATGTCAAACAGATTTCTGTGAGCTGCCGGGACCTCAAGAGGATCGTTGTAATCGTAGAAGGTAAAATTCGGATGAGCTTCGCCAAATCGAGTGTCAAACTCGTACAGATGCGTGTACAGCTCAAACGAAACCTCCTGAAGACAGAAAATAACATTACAAAGGCCCAGAATACGCTTCGGATACCTAAACATCAAGAAAAAACAAAAGACATACCTTTTTCTTCTCGAGAGCCTCAAATATCGTCGGACAAGACAAAAACGCAACCTTCACGGGTCCATTGAAGCTCTTGGCGAGCTCGAGAATTTCTTCACAGAGCTTGTCGGAGGTATCCTTGGTGTACCAGAACTGGCTCATCTGAAATTGTACGATAAAGTCCAACAAAAAAGAAATTTAGATATCAGCAGATGTATAAAATAACATCAGGTGTAATTCTAAGATTTTAAAAAGAAGCAAAGCCAAAATTTCCGCAAAGCTTCCCTGTATCTCCGAGATCGTCTCCAAAAAATTTCGGACAAAACTATTCCATATTTTTTCAGCTCAAGCTTCAGGTAATGCACATGAAAAAGGGCTGATTTAACATCGCTATAATCTTCCTAAACCTGAAACACAAAATAAAAAAGGACTTACACTCCAAATCTCCGTCTTTGAGTTTGCAGTGTTCTCGTTTTCATCCAAGGGAGCGTCATTCTTCGCTTTGATCTCGGCGATCATGGCCAGAACATCGCTGCTCAGCTCAAATTCGTTGTCGGCGTCCTCCAAATGCTCGTTGGTAACCATATTTCCCAACCCAAACTGAATTACTGCTAAAACTCGAGAAAACTTGAAACATTTTGCAATTTCCCAATATTTTAGGAATTTCTTTTTCCGCGTCTCGCGCCCGATATATCTGCAACTCGCGTAGTGTGTTATACGATGAAACGTGTCCGACAATAAAATGACCTCACAATCAGATTTATTACGCCGCTCGATTGCATCGTATGTTTAGAGGTGAGTAGTTTTATTACGTGCGATTTTATAGGCTTTAATGGAGGCAATCACGTGATTCATCGGGCATTTCTCCAGACAACTCGACTACTCCAATATCATAGACAAATCCAGGTCGTTCACCATCGAAAACGTATCGTTTCGGGATCTCAATAGAGAATTTTCGTTGGCAAGGCTGTAAGATCAATTTTATTTCAATTTTACAGGTGTTTAGGTTGTAAAATACGACTTTTTTTGCTTACCATTGAATCCTCGCAGTCGTGGTAAACATTGAGCTTTGGGTCGATAGTCATGAACTCATACGTCGATCCCTGAAGCTGAAATTCGCCCATGGCATTGGTCATGCCACTATCTAGCAAATCATCGAGGTCCAGGCCTAAGGAAAGGAATTTTATGTACTTTTTTGGACTGATAATAGACACGGGTGTCTTCCCACCTAAAATAAGGTAAAACTCACCGAAATCCTCGTCATACAGCTTGACTTCCACTTTGTAAGCTGGCTCGCCTTTGCACAACAATATCCCTTTGACTCCTGCACTTTGTTCTCTACCAATTCCAATAGAATTTACAGGATTTTCCATCACTACCATGGATAATATCGAAATGGAAAAAAATTTTAAGCTTGAAGTCATTTTTCTAGAATTTGATTGATTAGTAGATAGAACGTGTGTGAAGAGAGGTATTTGTAACAAAACGACTCCCGCATTTGCCCTCGTGACTCACATGCAAGCTTCATGAGTAATATGACTCATGTAAACTTGAGAGCTTGAAGAAAAGAACTTTTCATTGGTTCTGTTATCAAGTTGTTCTCTTAACGTAAACATTTCAAATTCACTCGTCTTCGCAATCAATCAACTTTGCTTTGTGATCTCTCGAGGTATTTATATTACACTTGGTAATCAAGTGTAATATCCGGTCTGAGTTTATATTTCAATAAAAATTTTGTGCCAATCCTGCCGGAATGGTGTAAAATACGGGGGAAAAAATTAAATACCATGGTTAATATAAAAGATAGGTTTATTTATCGCAATAGATCCATAGATACATATAAAATAAGGTCGTGAAAATCCTAGTGAATGCAGTCTCTCTTTTCTCCTTCGAATTCGCCAGACAATTCGATTACTCCGACGTCGTAGAAACGCTCCGCGCGACCGCCATCGTTGATGTAACTGTCAGGAATGTAGATCGTGAGTCTGCGTTGGCATAGCTAGAAGTGGTGCAAAAATAAATTAGGATTTTTTTTGCTATTTTTCGCATAAGAAATACTTACCCAGCGATCGTCACAATCGTGGTCAATGTTGATTTTGGGGTCGATATTCGTATATTCTCTAGCATGTCCTTCCAGTTGGAATCGCCCCTCGCTGTCGGTTGTGGTTTCATCCATTTTGTCGTCCAAGTCCGGGCCTAAAATATGAAGTATGATTTTCTCAACGTAAGATTTTTACTGCAAATGCTTTTAAAATACGAATCTAGGTATGGCCTAAAAAACTTACTGTCGTCGTCCCAGAGTTTGACGCTCACTCCGACTGCTGGTTTGCCCTTACATAAGAGCTTTCCTGTGGCTCCGGCGGCCTGGTCACGGCCAAAAATCTCGGCAGTACCGACGAAGAAGGTGAGGGTGAGCAAGAGGAATGTCTTGCCAATCGTCTTGAAGCCGGAAAATGTATAGATTAGAAAAAATTTGGCATACTTGAAAATCTGCGGTTTTCAAAAAAAAGCAGAAAATTTGTAAGACAAGGTAAAAAGCTCCATAAGAGCTAATACGATGTTGAAGGGCACTTTCCTATACTGAAATTACCAACTCGTTCGCAAATTCACTGAAGTGATTTTTTGCGATGTACAGGGTGGGCCACTCGAAACTGACAAGTTGTTTCTTTGAATTTCTCCGCGGAGATTCCGCCGATTTTTCCAAAATTTAGATTTTTCTGGAGCTGAGACCCGCCATTTTCAACCGACTTACTTTCAAGAAAATATATTTTGAATTGACCTTTCCATGCCTTCTCAAAGTTTTGAAAAATTATTTTCAGGCCGAAACCGCTATAACTTGGAAAATTTTTGGAATGATTTTGAAAACTTGGTCATTTTTCCGAGTTCTTGGGTGAAATTTTCTTTGTTTTACCTCAGATAGTTATCAAATATTGTCCAAAACCAATTTTATTTAACAATCTGATTATTAATGTTTCTATCTGAGTTATTATATTATGCCCACCTCCTCTCGCATCACAAACTTGCAGTGCCTTTGAGAGTCATGAACAGCTATAATTACGTATCGTGAATATGGTTTAACTTCAATCAGGCCGGGCTCTGAGCTTCCAGATGCCCCAGGCCTGACTCGATAACCATTGACGTCGAATTTAACAATCTTTTTGAAATCTTCTTTTTTTGAACGTTCGTGCCCTAATGGTAATACAAACAACCCTCTTGTGGCTTTCAATTTGCTTTAAACAAGTTTAAGGCGAGCACTAGCAACTTTTTACTCCACGATTTCCCCAAAAAAAAACCAAAAATTTTCCAAGTCCGAGAAAGTCAATTGAAAATCATTCCAAAAATTTTTTAAGTTTTAGCGGTTTCGGCCTGAAAATAATTTTTCAAAACTTTGAAAAGGCATGGAAAGGTTAATTTAAAGCATGTTTTTTTGAAATTCAGTCGGTTGAAAACGGCGGGTTCAGCTCCAGAAAAATCTAAATTTTAGAAAAATCGGCAGAGTCTCCGCGGAGAAATTCAAAGAAACAACTTGTCAGTTTCGAGCGGCCCACCCTGTACACTGTGAGAAAAACGGACTGAAATTTTGCCCGGTCGAAATTTTCGATCAACAATTTGGCCGCTAAATTGCCCCTCGGGGAGGCTTACAATTCTTGGTTGCTCCACAAATCCAAACGCTTCTTTCGAACGGAAGGGCACAACTTGACTCGCACGCAACAAGCGAAAACGTGACCGAAAAGCGGTCGATCCACGGCTTTTATACTTTCAGTGCTGGTCGATTTATGCAAATTCTTTGGGAATCTTCAGCAAACCATGGCATTTTCTGCATAATTATGTGAAAACCAGGCGAGAGGAGATGTTTTCTTCCACAAATTTTGAAAAAATTACCATGGTTAATACAGGGTGTTTCAAGAAATTTGGAACAAATAATTATATCTTTGTTGTCTTTGCAGCTATCAACGAATTTCTTTTTGCTTCTAAAAATTGACGTCGTGCGTTTTTAGAATCTCTAAAAAAATTTTTTTTCGTCGGCGGAGGGCCCATTTCTCGGCGGAGAAAATTAGGGCCTTTTTGAAAAATCACATCGTATTACGTGGCGGAAACGCCGTTGCAACGGCTGAAATCAAGTTTACGTTAAACCTCCGTGGATTTTACGGCATGCTTTTTTGCGTTTTCGATTTTACGCAATCCGCGGAGGCGCGGCGGAGACCTCAGATTTCGGCGGACGTTGTTTTGGGCCTTCGGCTGTTGCAATTCATGATGGAAAAGAGGTTGGGGTGATTTTTTGTTGTCATCCGATGCAACAGATGGCAAAAATGTCGTTAATTTCTTTCCCCGGCGGAGGCTTGATCAAAGGGTCAAAGCTGTCTTACGAGTCCGGGAAAAATCTCAGCTACAAGAATCCATCAGAGCAACATTATCTTTCAAAGATTTTTGATTTTTTTGGTCCGGCGGACAAATCGGCGGAGTTTTGTTTTGACCCTTTGATAAAGCCTCCGCCCACTCCTCCGCCGGGGATAAAAAGCACGAAATTTTTGCCATCTGTGCATCGGATGACAACAAAAAATCGCCCCAACCTCTTTTCCAACATGAATTGCAACAGCCGACGGCCCAAAACAACGTCCGCCGAAATCTGAGGTCTCCGCCGCGCATCCGCGGAAGTGCGTAAAATCGAAAACGCAAAAAAAGAATACCGTGAAATCCATGGAGGTGATACGTAAACTTGATTTCAGCCGTCGCAACGGCGTTTCCGCCACATAATACGATGTGATTTTTAAAAAAAGGCCCTTACTTTCTCCGCCGAGAAATGGGCCCTCCGCCGACGAAAAAAAATTTTTTGACGTCAATTTTTAGAAGCAAAAAGAAATTCGTTGATATCTGCAACCATAAAGGCTCATTTTGTTAAACACGGAGGGCCAAGTTTACTTCGGGGCATGTTTCATCGTATAAGATGTGAAACTGCTGCCTGCAGCCCGATTTTAACGCTTACCTTGGTAGTCGAAGTATAAGGTTTCCCTTTTTTGGACAAAAGTTACCACAGTTGATATAAACGATAGATTTATTTTTGATCTCTTGATGCACTCATACTAGTCGCGCCATAAAGTCCTGACACATTTTGTCGCGGGTGTCGCGCGAGAAAATTGGAGTGGTTCGCGCGAAAGCGCATGTCGCTAGTGCAAAAACGGGGAATTGCCGCGACGGGTCCGAAAGAAAAACAAAAATGCACTGTGCAAATTTCTCAGGACTTTATGTCGCGACTAGTATTACACTTGGTAGTCAAGTGTACTATGAGGTCGGAGTTTAAACTTCAGCGAAAAATTTGGGGCCAATTTTGTTTGGTATGGCATAAAATATGGCCAGATATAAAAAATATATTGATTTATCGTAATAAGACCAGCTCCATATCAAACAAGGCCGAGAACGTCCTAGTGGAAGCAGACTCTCTCTTGTTTCTCGAATCCACCTAATCTTGAAGACAATTCGATCGTTCCGATATCGTAAAAACGCTTCGCGCGATAGCCATTGTAGACATAATTCTGTGGAATATTGATCCTGATCATGCGCTCGCACCACTAGAAATTAATTCGGATTTTTTCGCTGTTTTCGATAAAGAAATACTCACAAATTTATCATCACATTCATGGTAGATTTTGAGTTGGGGGTCGATGTTCCCAATCAAAAGCTCATTGGCATGTCCGTGCAGTTGAAAGATACCGGTTTTGTTGGTTACCATCTGATCCATTCCGTCATCAATAACTAAAACATAAAAATTCATTTTTTCTAGTTAAAATTTTGCCTGCAAAGGGTTGTAAAATAAGAATCTAGGTAATTTAAATTAAAAAAAACTTAATCGTGTTGTGATTCGCGAGCTCGACCATAACTCCCTTCGCGGGTTTCCCTAAACACAGGAGCTTCCCTCTAACTCCGGCGGCCTGTGTTTGGCGAAGGGGAAGAATGTCGTCTGCGCCGGCGAAGGAGGTGATGGTGAGCAGGAGGAAGGTTTTGGCAATCATAATGAAGGCTGAAAATATTGCGATTATACCAAAAAATTGGGTGCCTGAAAATCTGCTGTGCTCGGAAAAATTTCGCCTAATATGTATGTGGGATGTGCTGGCAAAGCACAAGTTAAAATTTTCGGGTCGACTACAATGGAGGACCTGATCCAGTGGCAAAAAACGTACCATCTTGCACCCGGGAAGTATCAAAAAATGTATCAAAATGCCTCCCGCTCCAGCTAAAAAACTCCGTTTTGAAGCGCGCGTCTTTTCCCTCACAAAAAGAGCTTTTGAGGTCGGAGTTTTTTCACTTGAAGAGGGAGGTATTTTGCTACGTTTCTGGATTCTTTCCGGATGCAAAATGGTACGTTTTTTGCCACTGGATCAGGTCCGCCATTGTAAAACCAAAAGGCCATAGCTAAAATAATCCCAAATCACCATTTCCCCGTATTTTTTTGGTTGGTAAACCCCGTAAAACTTACAATCAAATGTTGTCGCTCCACGAATCCAATAGCTTTTTTTCAAAGGAGGGCACAACAAGCGAAAAAATGGTCGTAAAGCGGTCGATCCACCGCTTTTATATTATTGTTGGTCGATTTATGCAAATCGTTGGCAACCTTTTTCAAGGTGCAAGTTTCGAAACAGAAGATTGCCCTTTTTTGGGGCAAAAATTCTGTTTTGCACAGTGCAAACGGAGTCCACTTTTTTATTCGAATTTTTGGTCGAATAATTCGACTTTCGAGGTCTACGCAAATTCTGCTTGAAAAAATACGAAATTCTTGGGAATTTCGGGTTTTTTGGAACTCGAAAACAAAATTTGCCAAATTCGTGTGACGGAGGTGAAGTTATTTTTCGGCTAGACTGATAGATACCTCCAGCGACCATAAAGGCTCATTTTGTTGAACATGGAAACCAAGTTTAATTCGGGACATATTTCATCGTATAAAATGTGAAACTGCTGCCTACAGCCCTTTTTCAAGGGTTTGCTGGTACTCCAAGTCTAAGATTTTTGTTATTGGACAAAAATTACCACGGTTAATATAAATGATAGATTTATTTATGATCTCTCGATGAACTTATATTACACTTGGTAGTCAAGTGCGCTACAAGCTCGAAGTTTTAATTTCAACAAAAAATTTGGGGGCTAATTTTGTTTGTTATGGGGTAAAATACGACCAGCTACTTTCTTGCTGTGGAATTTTGAATTTTTTTAAGCAATATTTCTATTTTAAGTCAAAAATCATCAAGGTTAATATAAAATATAGATTTATTTATCGTAATTAGAATATATCCAGAGATACATACAAGCTAAGGCTGAGAACACTCTAGTTAAAGCAGTCTCTCTCTTCTCCAGCGAATTCTCCGGACAATTCGAGTACTCCGGCATCGTAAAAACGCTCCGGGGTCCAGCCGTCGGTGACGTAAGAGTCGGGAATAAAGATCCTGATTCTGCGGTTGCATGGCTAGAAATGGGGTAAAATAAATGTTTTTTTTTGCTATTTTTCTTACCCAGTTATCCTCACATTCATGGTCAATGTTGATTTTGGGACTGATTGACCCAAAAAAAGTCTCGCTGGAATGTCCGAACACTTGAAAGAAACCATTACTGTCGGTTGTGGTTAGGCCCATATGTTTATCATACACTAAAATATAAATTTTTATTTTTTTAATCGAAGATTTTGACTGCAAAATGGGTGTAAAAGACGAATCTAGTTGAAGTTTACATTAAAAAAAAACTTACCGTTAGATATACTATTATGATTCCAGAGTCTGACCCTAACTCCTTCGGCTGGTTTGCCGTTACACAGGAGCCTCCCCTTGGCTCCGGAGGACTGTATACGGCCAAAGTCTGCGTTGGCCGTGCCAACGAAGCAAGTGATGCTGAGCAGGAGGAATATCTTGATAGTCATCTTGAACCTGAAAATTTATGGATTATAATCTATACATATTTATAGATTAGTCTACAAAGAAGCCAGGGCGCAAGCTGCTAAACGTTTATGCCATAAAATGAAGTTTGCGCACAGTTCGGATCGAATTCTTTTGAAAAGGGCCAAAAATTCACAGTGCAGTTTTAATTTTCACTGTGCTTTTTTTTTATCGCGCAACTCAAATTTGCGAGCGCGCAAAAGGCGCACCGACGAAGTCGAAAAAGGCCTACGCTGCGGCGATCTTCGATTAGACAGTGCCAAAAATTGAAATACTAGTCACGCCATAAAGTCCTGACACATTTTGTCGCGGGTGTGGCGCGAGAAAATTGGCGAGCTCGCGCGAAAGTGCATGTCTCTAGTGCAAAAACGGGAAATTGCGGCGACGAGTCCGAAAGGAAAACAAAAACGCACTGTGCAAACGTCTCCGGACTTTATGTCGCGACTAGTAAACAGTGCGGAAAGTTCTTGACAAAAAGTCTATATACGCGTTTTTGAAAGAAAAAGCGTGTAGTATAATAATTTCAGGGCCGTTTTCTCTCAAAAAAATATGGAAAATCGAATTTTCAATACCGCTAAACAATTATCCCAGAAACATAAGCGACCCCCAAATCACCATTTCCTCGTAAATTTTTTTGTTTAGTAACCCCCGGAAAACTTACAATCAAATGTAGTCGCTCCACGAATCCAAGCGCTTTTTTGGAGCACAACAAAGCCAAAAAACGACCGAAAAGCGGTCGATCCACCGGTTTTATATTATATTTTTCTTGGCGATTTATGAAATTCTTGGCAACTTTCACCAAAGTCCAAGTTTCGAAACAGAAGATTGCCCTTTTTTGGGGCAAAAGTTCTGTTTTGCACAGTGCAAACGAAGTCCACTTTCCTATTCGAATTTTTGGTCGAATAATTCGACTTTCAAGGTCTATGCAAATTTTGCTCCAAAAATACAAAATTCTTGGGAATTGGTTTGCAGCTTGCAATCAGCAAAGATTAACCATAAAGGCCGAATTTGTTACTTCTCTTGTTAGCGGGTCACCAATGCCCAGATTGTATGTAAAATTTAATTGTAAAAAAATGGGAACGTCGTAATTGGGGTACTGTCCTTGTCAACTGGGTGCGCGCAAGGTTGGGAACCATGCAAAACTTGGAAAAAGGCCTTGATCCAGTAGATACTGGTTTCCTATGGTAGTCCTGTGGCTTTTAAATACCTCCAGCGACCATAAAGACTCATTTTTGCATTTTGTTGAACATAGAGGCCAAGTTTACTTCGGGACATGTTTCATCATATGAAATGGGAAACTGTTGGCTGCAGCTTCTTCGAGAGCTTGCTGGTACTCGAAGCAGAAGCTTTTCGTTTTTGGACAAAAATTTCCATGATTAATATAATATAATTGAAGATTTATTAATCGTAATTCGAATAGATCCAGAGATATACATACAAGCTATAGTTGAGAACACCCTAATTAAGGCAGTCCCTCTCTTCTCCAGCGAATTTTCCGGACAATTCGATTACTCCGGCATCGTAAAACCGCTTCACGCGATCGCCTTCGTTGACGTAAGTCTCGGGAATATAGATCCTGATTCTGCGGTTGCATGGCTATAAATGGTGTAAAATAAATATTTTCTTGCTATTTTTCTTACCCAGTTATCCTCACATTCATGGTCAATGTTGATTTTGGGACTGATATTTCCAAAGAAAAACTCGCTGGAATGTCCGTACACTAGGAAAGTCCCATTACTGTCGGTTACGGTCTGACCCATTGGGTCATCAACGGCTAAAATATAAAATTTTATTTTTTCAATCAAAGATCTTGACTGCAAACGTGGTGTAAAAGACGAAGCTAGTTGTAGTTTGCATAAAAAACTTGCGTGCGTCATTCCAGAGCTTGACCTGAACTCCGACTGCTGGTTTGCCATTACACAAGAGCTTCCCTCTGGCTCCGGCCGACTGTGTTTGGGGAAGAAAGCCAAACGCGTCCGTGCCGACGAAGAGGGTGGTGGTGAGCAGGAGGAGTGTCTTGGCAATCATCTTGAAGCCTGAAAATGTATAGATTAATCTAGGAGGAAGTCAGGACGCGAGCTGCGAAACGCTTAAGAAAACTTACGCTCAAAAGGCGTCGCTCCACGAATCCAACCGTTTTTTGGAGCTCAACAAAGCGAAAAAACGACCGAGAAGCGGTCGATCCTCGCTTTTACATTATTCTTGGTCGATTTATGCAAATTCTCGGCAATCTGCGCCAAGGCCCAAGTCTCGAAACAGACGACTCAGCCTGTTTTTGGCAAAAATTACGATGATTATAAAAAATAGATATATTTATAGTAATAACGATACATAGATAACGATATGTCATACAAACTTGGATTTATTAGCCAGGTGTCTAAAAAATGCGATGTAAATGTTAAACAAGGCCAAGACCATCCTAGTGGATGCAGTCCCTGGATTCTCCGCTCATCTTCCCGGACAACTCGAGTGTGCCGACGTCGTAAAGTTTTTTCGGATAATGCGAAAAGCGGCCGTTGGTGATGTAGCTGTCGGGAAGATAGATGGTGAGTCTGCGGTCGCACGGCTGGAAATCGAAGCGAAATCAGATTTACGCCGGAATCGGGCTGTCCCAGCACGAATTACGTACAATCCAAGCGTCGTCGCAGTTGTGGTCAATGTTGATTTTGGGGTCGATGTCGCTCTCGAAGTTTTCTTCGGCATGTCCTTTCAGTTCAAAGTAGCCGTTCTTGTCGCTCGTTGTTTCGGCCATACTGTCGTCAAGGAAGACTATAAATAGAAAGAAGTACGAAGTCTGATTGGGCCAATTTCCTGTTCCAAAGTTGGCTGGAAATTTTGCGAGATGCAGCTCGGGCGCAGGTCGGCTTATAGCGAAAAAATCCTCATTTTCAAATACGCAAATTTTTCTAGGCTTATTTTTCCAGCTGCGCCCGAGCCTTAGCATAGATGCTGTCTTTAGCTAGCCTTCATCTTTTTGTTCCCTGAGGCTTTTCCAACACAAAAACACATGAAATTCAATTCCCTCATAAAATTCGATTTTGAAAAATTTTTACGAAAAGCTTTTGCACCCTCAGCCAGAAAACTGAACTTCTCTACGAATGGCTTTAATTTATTCAAAAAGTACGTACCGTCTTCATCCCAGAGTCTGATGCGAGCTCCCTCCTGTGGTATGCCGTTACACAAGAGCCTTCCTTTGGCCCCGGCGTACTGATACTTCCCGCCGGGCCGGGCATCACCCACGAAGAAGGCGATGGTGAGCAGGAGGAATGTCTTGGCAATCATCGCGAAGGCTGAAAATATATATTCGGATTAGACCTTTGCGATGTCAAAGTCTTGGGCAGCGCAAAATTTTTGGGCGAATGACAAAACACAGTTTCTCCACTCATAAACAAGGCTTACAAAAAATTAAAATTCTGTCCGTCTGCGGTCTGAATTATGACATTTTGGCCCCCAAGTAAAACTTACGATTGTTGATTAGATTACCCCCACAAATCCAACCGCTTCTTTTGTGTGGAAATTAGAACACAATTTATTCACACACGACACGCGAAGAAGTGACCAAAAAAGCGGTCGAAGCGTAGATTTTGGGGCAGGATTCGCGGATTTGTGCAAATTCAAATTCTTTGGGATTCTTCTCAAAACTGTGAAACTCTTTTGGATATCAGTTTGTCGGGAAAATAATGTGGATTTGTCGCAGAAAAGTCTTTCGCTTTGTCGCAACTGCGCACCAAATCTCCAGCCCCTTCAAGCCGTCGCAGGGCGTTGATGGGCGATTTCAAGGCGCGACAAATCCACATTATTTTCCCGACAGACTGATCTTAATATAAAAATTGAGAAATACATTTTCTCCTCCCAAAAGTTTAAATTTGAATCATGATTTTGTCTTTTTTGTGAGCAAAAATTGTCATGAATAATATTAAAAGTTCGATTGATTAGCCAAAAGTCAAAAAAATGCGATGTACATGTAAAATAAGGTGACGGACATTCTAGTGGATGCAGTCTCTGGTTTCTCCCGGGAATTTCCCGGACAATTCCATCGTTCCGGCGTCGTACAGTTGCTCCGCAACTTTTCCCTTGCTGATGTAGCGGTCGGGGATCATGATCGAGATTTTGCGTTGGCATGGCTGAAAATGATGGGAAATGGAAGATAATCGGGTAAAATACGATTGATTGTATTAATATCAGTCGTGTAAAATTCAAAAAAAAATTTGACTGGGCCCAACTAATGGCCTACTATTAGCATTTCCACAAAGTGCCTGGACATTTTTTTTGCTTTGCACAGTAATTTTGAACCTTTTTCCACGCTTATCGCCGATGTACAGTGCATTTTTCGTTTTTCCCTTTGCGCACCGTGCAAACCTCGAAAAAGCCGTTTGCACCGTGCAAATTTTTGAGCAAAACCGCGACGACGCAGTTGAAAAAAGCTTACGTCGCAGCGATGTTTCGATGCACGGTGCGAAAACCAAACAAAAAAAGCGAAATGCACGGTGCACCAAAAAGTTTTTTGTGCGGTGCGGGCGCGACAAATTTCCATTCACCTTGCACCGTGCACAAAAAACTTTATTGGGCTGTCGCTGGCACCCTGACTTTTCTGCACTGTGCAAATGCCAAACATCACTCCAGCGACTTTACGAGTCCGTCCGCAAATCGCTGGAGTGATTTCGGCGACATGCACTGTGCGAAAACAAAAGTTCCCTCTGCACTGTGCAATTTCTTTTTTTGCACCGTGCAATAGACTTTTTTGGGCTGTCGCTGGCACCCTGACTTTTCTGCACTGTGCAAATGTCAAACATCACTCCCGTGACTTTACAAACGGACTAGTCAACAGTTTTGACTACTTTTTCAATAAAAATGACTTACAGTCCAAGAGTCATCACAGTCATGGTAGATGTTGATCTTAGGGTCGATGCTGCTGATCTCATCGGAATGGCCTTGAAGTTCAAAGTAGCCCTCGCTGTCAGTCTTGGTTTTGCCCATAAAATCGTCAGTGTCCAGGCCTAAAATACGAGGCAAAATTTTTGGAAAAATTTCATTTTTTGATCGCACAGTGAGAAAAGGTAAAATACGATAGTTCTTCTTTTTTTGTATTAAAAGGTTATGAAAGTTAGATACCTCTATCATCATCATAAAGTTTGATGAGCACTCCACTCAGCGGTTTGCCATTACAAGTGAGCTTTCCCTTGGCGCCGGCGGACTGTGTAGAGCCGATAAGGCCGGCTGTAGCTAGAGAGAAGGTGATAAAGAGTATTGGTAATGTCCTGGCAATCATTACTGCGGCTGAAAGGATTGATATTAGGTCAAAAACAGTTTGAGGTAATTGAAAATTGTGGTCCGAAAATTTGTAAAATTCAGAAAAAATTGATATGATTTTCGAAATCAGTGCCATCGAAAGCCTGATCGGGAAAATAATGAACGCAATGTCGCTGTGCCAATCGCGTCGCTGAAGTGGAAAGCAATTTGATTTTGCCGCGACACAATTCATTTTCTCGACGGCGATTTTCGATGCGACAGAGTGCTCATTATTTTCCCGACAGACGGATAGTAAAAATAAAATCATAAATAATCGATCTGTTCGTTGTACAGGGTCTTTCAAGAAACGTGCAGGAAAGTAGGAGGCTATAACTTTCGGCGGAGGCGGCGCAGAGAGTTCGTTTTTGGAATATGTATTTTTAAGCGACATTATTTTTTGCCTACGAAATAACAAGTTTTAAAAGTTCAAACTGAGGTCGCTACGACCTTCTGAAGTAGAGGCATCTCTACCCCGAAAACCAGGTTTTTTCGGTTGAAAATGAGCGTGAAATTTCGGTCCTTTTCGGTTGAAAATCACCAAGAAATGGGGGTTCTTTTTTTCGGGGGTTTCGATAGAGTTGACGTTGAAAAAAGGGAAGGATGTTGCCAACACGTTGGAAATTAAGCAAATATTCGGCTAGCCTCAACTTGGGGCAGATTTCGAGTTTATTTTTCGGTATCTTCCGCGAAGAAGCGTGACATCATTTAGGGATTTGAGGAACCTGGAATCGGCTAGCCAAGGCACCAGAATGGCTGTGAAGTCCTATAAAAACTAGTCAAAGGGTGTAATGGGCGTCAAAGGGCAGGAATGACAACCAAACTTTAAACTGCTAGCAAAAACTGGCTAGTCAAAGTGTCAGAATAAAGAGTAGCCGAATATTTGCTTAATTTCCAACGTGTTGGCAACATCCTTCCCTTTTTTCAACGTCAACTCTATCAAAACCCCCGAAAAAATCCGACATTTCTTGGTGATTTTCAACCGAAAAACTCTGAAATTTCTCGATCATTTTCAACCGAAAAACCCTGGTTTTCGGGGTAAAAGACCCCTTTTTCAAAAGGTTGTAGCGACCTCAGTTTGCACCTAAAAATCTTATTATTTCGTAGGCAAAAAATAATGTCGCTTAAAAATACATATTCCAAAAACGAACTCTCTGCGCCGCCTCCGCCGAAAGTTATAGCCACCTACTTTCCTGCACGTTTCTTGAAAGACCCTGTAAATGAAGGCCTAGAAGTCCTATTTCAATACCTTAAAAGCAGCTTTTATGGCCCGATTACAACTCCAATAATTGTGAAGCAATTCGATTTAATATTTCGATTATTACTTCCTATTACTTCCCATTACTCTCTTTTCCAACAAAATCAAAAAATCGAAAACATCAAGCCCCATCAACAATCATAACTTTACACCGTCGCACCGGCGACGACGTCGAGTCCCAATAAACGGAAAACTGAGTGTTTTAACCGCCTCGGGAACCGGAAATTTTTGTTTGGAATTCCAAAACAAATCAAATGTCAAGTCTTCCGTCGTATGTTCGGCGGATTGGGTCATGTTTTTGAAATTTGGCTGCTTTATGAATCATTGTATGCGAGTGCGCGATGAGTCAACTATACTTCCGTCTCAGAGGGTTTTCATAATAATCAAAGAGAAGTAACCTTTGAGATGAGGGAAATGTGATTCTATTTGACGTTTTGAACAGCCCTGTGGGTGATTTTTGGGTGGTATAATATAAATTGATCAAAATTTGAGGAAATTTTTGATTTGTTGGCGCTTTTTGGTCGAAGTTGAGATAAAAAACCGGGACACTTTGGCCTTTACCGTATTTTACAAATATATTTGATATTCTAGACAGTTCTCCGGTTGTTTTTTGGGTAGTATAATATAAATTAGTCCAGATTTGACCAACATTTTAATTTTTTTCGCCTTTTTAAATCAAATTTAAGACAGAAAAATTATTTCCAACTATCACCGAACGTATTTTAAAAATTAATTTTTATCCAAATCTCCAAAAAACGTTTCCTCCCCGGCCGGGAATCGAACCCGGGTCTCGCACGTGACAGGCGCGGATACTTACCACTATACTACCGAGGAACACGCTTCAGTTTCCTTTATTTTTTGTTGGAGTTCGCCGGAAAAGCCTTTTTATTGTAAAATAAATCCCGTAACAGCTTATATATCAGTCTGTCGGGAAAATAATGAACACGCATCAAAAACTGCATCACCGCTGAGAAAATGAATTGTCGCGGAAAAATCAAATTGCTTTTCAATTCAGCGACATGATTGACATTATGCTCGTTATTTCCCCGACAGAATGAAATATCTTTTTAAAAAAGATGATTTCGTATTTTAGAATGGCTCTTACATCCTACGCTGTCTTTCTTTTTGCCATTTTTGGGTCTGTTCTGTCGATTGGAACCATTCAAAGTGCTGCTGTCACTGGAACCCTGAAATGTAATGGAGTGGTGATAAAGGATGTGCTGGTGAAACTGTACGATGATGATAGTGGTAAGTTTGGCAACCAGAATTTCGCTGAAAATTTCTTAAAATCACAAACAAACTTTTTCAATATTCTAGGCCTCGATGCTGATGATCTAATGGACACCAGTCATTCGGATGACCAGGGAAAGTTCCATTTGTCAGGAGATACGGATGAGATTGGAACAATCGACCCAAAAGTCAATATCTACCACGATTGCGATGATAAATTTGTGGTAAGTTGCAAGATACCATCGGAGTTTATGTTTTTCGAAAGCAAGTTGAGCATTTCTAAAATACGAGCGACATCAACGGTAAAAGATTTGGCCTTCCGTGCGATAAAAGGCACGTTTTCCTTCGGTAGTTTCCAAAATTTATACAGTTATAAGTGTGTATTCGACTTACATACATAGTTCCTAAAATTGCACGATTTATTAGTCTGTCGGGAAAATAATGAAAACTCGGTCGCAACGAAAATCGTATCGCCACCGAAAAAATTAATTGTGTCGCGGAAAATCAAATTGCTTTTCACTTCAGCGACGCGATTAACGCAGCGAAATTGTGCTCAGAATTTTCCCGACAGACTAAAAAGTTAAATTTTGCGATGCGATTCGTCTAAGTGCCCATTATTTTTCTGACAGACTGATTTTTGAAAAAATTGCTTTTCAGAGAAAAAGGCTTTTTAAAAAATTGTGGTGAAATATTTACTGAAAATTATCTTACTACAGTATTTGCAATTTTGCCGAGTTTGCTTTCATGGCGGAAGATAGAAAAAAACTTTTTTGAAATTTTGTTTCCAAGCCGTAGAAGTGCGATTTAAAAGTAACTGTAATGGCTCTTTAACCAAGAAAATTTTCAGCCCTGCCAACGCAAAGTAACCATCAAATTGCCCGACAGTTACGTGACCAAAGGCAGCAAACATCCAAAGAAAACCTATGACATTGGGACGCTCGAGTTGGCCGGTAAATATCCCGGGGAATCTCGCGATTGTATTCATTGATATTACTGTATCTAATAGTCAATAAAAATCTCAACATCTTATTCTAACTTAAGCAGATCAAAACAAAGTTTTTTACAAGTTTATTACAATAAATATTCAGTCGACATTCGACAATATTGTCTCCGCATGGACTCGTTGTGATATTGTCGTTCGGTTTTCGGCCTCACACGTCGTGTCGGGCAGGTTTTGGCCTTTGGTTTCGGGTAGGGTTAGCGTTACGGCACCTCCAACACTAGCAACAATCGTGAAGAAAATCATTGGGAGCTTCTCGTAGACGAATTTCTGAAATTATTAGTAAATCTATTATTTATTTTCTAGCAACGTATTTATTTTATGATGAGTGCAGCAGCAAGTCTATGACGAAATCTGTCTATAATCCACAACCTCGGAGGTACCGAGAACCAACTTTAGACCAAAATGAACTTCTATGCAATGAAGCCCTTCTACAACGAATGATTTTTAATCTATGGTTATTCGTGAAACTGATCGACTGTAATGGCAAAATGAACTCAGTGGAGGATATACCTACACAGGGTGTCCAGAGAAATTCCGCGGAAAGTGTTTGCCGATTTCTAGGCGCTTAGGCAAGATATCCAAAAAATTCTTTTTGCATTAGAAAGAAGACTATGGGCGGTTTTTTATCTAAAAAAGTTTTTTTGTCCGCCGACGCGGAACATACTGTATTCGGCGGAGACTTTTGGTAGCTTTTTTGGTCATCACACCAATCTTAAGCGCTTTACTATGATCCTGAAACTATCGGGAAGCCTTCAGTTTTTTTCACAGAGGCTCAGGGGACCGACGACAACGCTATGCAATCGCATTTAGCAACTGCACCGCACTGTGTAGTTGCGTCAACAGCGATGAAGTCCGACCGCATCGTGCGGAGGTTTGAAACAGCGGGGCAAAGAGAAGTTGAAACAAAAAATATTTTGTTGTTTTCTGGTACACCAAGTCGTTACTGATGGCTAAGCTGCTGACAAGGCTTGGCGAAAAAAATTTGGAGAGCATATGGGATCAGCAAAGAATGCTAGCCACATAATGTTTGGGACATCTCCTATCCGAAGCTGAGTTGTGGCCTCCGCCGATACGGAAAGCTCGTCATTCCATTGCCGAACGTTTGGTAAACATAAAAATAAGATAACATTCTCTTTTTAACCATCAGAAATCGTACTGCAGCTTTTAAGATTGGTGTGATGTCCAAAAAAGCTACCAAAAGTCTCCGCCGAATACAGTATGCTCCGCGTCGACGGACAAAAAAACTTTTTTAGGAAAAAAACCGCCCATAGTCTTCTTTCTAATGCAAAAAGAACTTTTTGGATATCTTGCCTGAGCGCAGAGAAATCGGCAAACACTTTCCGCGGAATTTCTCTGGACACCCTGTATTAAAAACCTTGTCATAATGGGCATTTGTCGCGCCGTTAGTGCACGAAAACGCCCATCATTTACACCATGCATTTTAGCTTTCTTGATATTGTCTAAATATCGCTGTTTCAAATGCGTTAGGCAGGCGTCAGGTATTTGCACAGTGCAAACGGCTTTCTTAAGGTTCGCACAGTGCGAAAAAAGAAAAATGCACTGTGCGTTGGCGACAAGCGTGGGAAAGAGTGCAAAATGCACTGTGTAGCGCAAAAATGTCTATGCATTTTATAGAAATACTAATAGTGGCTCTACTCGTGGAGCCTCTGTACAACAAGCCGCAAAGGCCTCAGAAAATAGTTTGTTATAAAAAGGTTTCTTTGTGTAGGCTTCGTTTCCTTCAGATTTCTCTGTGTTCTAACAATAAACGTATTTTACCCAGACTTACCAATTCATTTGCCTGAGGAGCAAACACTCCACCCAATCGCGCCAAAACTTCGCAAGCTCCAATGCATCCACTCCGAAGATTGGTCGGGAAAACTTCAGAGGCGTAGACGAAAAGACAAGTGAACGCGCAGGAAATCCCAAACTTCCCGGTTAGCCAAAGCAACAATGAGACTGTCGGGCTCTCTGAAAGATAGAAAGGTTCGTTTTTTGGTTTTCTAGACATCTTTATTGAAGGTTTTTATACTATGACTAAAAAAGTTTTTACTCACCAACAAAGATTGTTCCAAGGAATGAAAATGCCGCCAGAAAGTGCGACAAGGAAACGAAAAGTCTTCGGCCAATTTTGTTCAGAAGATACGGAGAGACCGCGTATGATGGAAGTTCAATCAAGCCGGAAAGAATGTAGTTCCAAAACTTATTGCCCGCCAACTCTGTACTGAATAATGAGAGGCCGTAGTAAACAAAAGTGTCGCATACCCTGAAAAATTTTGCATACAGTAAAATCGACGCACAACAAAATTCAGTACAAAATAAAAAATTTTATAATAAGCGATTTCTATGGGTTACAGTCTGTCGGGAAAATAATGTGGATTTGTCGCAGAAATATGTCTCTTCGAATCGCCCGTCATCGCTTTGCGACGGCTAGCCATAGATAGGAATTTGGTGCGTGAAAAAAATTGAAAGAGATTTTTTTGCTGCGACAAATTCACATTATTTTCCCGACAGATATACACGTTCTTAAAGTGCATGGACGTTTTTTCGCGGCCAGCAAAAGTGACCTCCATTTTGCACTGTGCATTTTGAAATTTTTTTTGATTTTTGCGCTATGCATCGGAAATATCGCTGCGACACATGCTTTTTCCAGTTGCGTCGCCGCGGTTTCGCTCAAAACTTTGCACAGTGTAAGCCTATTTTTTGAGGTTTCCACTGTGCAAAAAGACAAAAATGCACTGTGCGTTAGCGACAAGCGTGGGAAAAAGTAAAAAATGCACTGTGCAAAAGAGAAAAAAATATCCATGCACTTTATGAAAATACCATGAATATGTAATAAAAGGGCTTTGTTTTACAAAGTTTTCACTGTACAGTAAAATCAATCGGCGATGCGGTTTTCGATGCGACAGAGTGCTCATTATTTTCCCGACAGACTAATAATACTTTTGACTTACCATAGATACGACAACACGAACGTATAAAACAATATCCGTTTGTGTGAAATCAGCTGAACAAAAAAGTTCTTGTCCTCCGAGCCATCCGATTTCTGATGTTTCATGTGCTCAGATATCAAAATCTAAACTCTCAAATCATTTCTCAACACCACATTAACTCACCTCAGCACTCAGCTCGGTCTCTTTTTTGAACCGATTCAAATTCTTCAGCCAATTCGACAAATCTTTGGATTTACCCTTTGAAACCATGTAATGATAGCTTTCGGGGATTGTAAAATAGTAAAATACCCCAAGAACGCATGAGGGAAATGAAGCAACAACAACAAGATGACGCCAGTAAGGGATGAGATAGGCCAACGGGCTGATAATGCAGTAGCCAACAACCCAAGCGGCGCCAAAGAAAAACGCGGCGTAGCTCCGCCAAAACATGCCCATACTCTCGTAGGCCAACACCCAACTCACAATTCCACAGCCCTAAAAATATATTTCTTATGACATGAGTCTGTCGGAAAAATAGTCGTCGGTTGTCGCGCCTTGGAATCGCCCATCATCATCTTGCGGCGGCTAGCGGCGGCTAGACATGGCTCCCGGGCCGGGCCGGCCCGGGCCGAAATTTCGGCCCGTCGGCCCGATTTCAGATCGGCCGGGCCGGCCGGACCATTTCCGGCCCGTCGGCCGGGCCGGCGTTTCGGCCCGGCCCGGCCCGGAGTATTTAAAATCCAGAATCTCGAAGTGAAAATTGGGTTTTTCATAATGAAAATAAACGCAAGACACAATTGGTTTTTTAAAGGGTTTTTTGTTTTTAGATAGCTATGGAACACAGTATTTATCCATTTACATGATGATAGAAAAAAATTTGGTCATAAGGAGTTAGACTTGGAGAGACTTTCGTTGCAATGGGCCGGCCCGGGCCGGCCCGGGCCGGGCCGGGCCGGGCCGAAGCAAATTTAAAACGGGCCGGGCCGGGCCGACGGAAAATGTGAAACGGGCCGGGCCGGCCGGAACCCTTCAGGCCGACGGGCCGGGCCGAGATCTTCGGCCCGGGCCGGCCGACGAGCCATGTCTCATGTCTCGTCGGCCGGCCGCAGCTGGGGCTTTGATGCGCGAGTGAGTTTTTTTCCTCTGCTTACAAGATTGTTAGACCCCAACATCACTAATTGCACTATGAAAACTCACTTTTTATACCGAATACACGGTGCAAAAAGGGTTTTCAGAGAGCGACGTAATTATGCCACAAAATGCAAGTTCCAGAGTCGCAGAAAATTCCCAAGGCATTTTGCCGCGATCACTCCAAGTGCGACACTCAGATTTTGATGAAACTTGGCACAAATATAGAATGATTTTTTCTAAGCCATATGTGACATCCAGGCTCGCGCTTTGCAGAAACAACCGATATTTTTAGGCCAAAAGTTGGCAATGTCATGTCGCTTTTTTCCGAATTTTCGCATGAAAAGTTTCATGCCTCTTTCTACTGTAGAGGGTAATGTTTCCACAAAAAAGATTTTTTCGGCGAAAAATTGGCAAAGATATAGCCAAAAAGTGTTTTTCTGTCTGACCGCTCTCCGCGTTTCGTGTACTCTCTTTGCCGCAAAGATCCTTTAAAATAACGGTATATTTGACCGTCGCTTTTAATAAAAAAAATTTACTTCTCACCGGGAAAAAGATTCCTTGAACAAACCGCAGCACAATGTACTCGTAGATGCTGGACGACGTAGCGCTAATGCAGCCAATCACACCGAGTAAAAAGACGTTTACAATAATCAACGGACGACGGCCTATTCTGAAAGCCATACCATTATTTTTTTTCGACGATGACTTACAAATCCGCTATCCTCGCGACTGTACAAGCTCCAACCATGTTGCCAAATAGATACATCGAGGTGGCAATCCCCGCTAAATGAGATTTATCGCCGGTTAAGTTGAACTAAAAAGACATTTCAAGTCCGAGGAAGGAAGCGCCTACCTCCTCCATCAAAGTCCCCGGGGTTACTGTACAATTTGCGTCGGGAGGACAGACCTGGCCCACAATAAATGCAGTCATCATCATTGGAGCGGCGGTTATGCACCAGGTAAACGTCATCGAGGTGAATATCCATATAATGTAGGGGTTCCATTTGTCTGAAAAAAGTTTATTATGTATAATAGTTTAGATTTACCGCCAATTTCTACCCAGACTGTATACCAAAAGAATTCTCATTTTTCATTCAGAAAAATCAAAACCTCGAGGAAAAAAACTTTAATGATGATTTATCAGTATGTCGGAAAAATAGTGGGCACAATTTCGCTGTGCCGATCGCGTCGCTGAGGCGAAAAGCAATTTGATTTTTCCACGATACAATTCATTTTCTCGGCGGCGATGCGATCTTCGATGCGACATTGGGCTCATTATTTTCCCGACAGACTGATAGCTCTCATTTATTTACTCCGCGAAACGCAAGTTAAACGTACAGTACTGCCTTTATTGGATTGCACTGTTTCCCGGAAAGACTTATACTCTGCCCAAAAAGTCCTGAGAATTTACAATGCTTTTCGAAGGTGGCTGCGAAAATTGCGAAAAATTGCCTTGCACATTGCATTTTCGATTTTTTTTGTTGAAAAAAAATTATCAGTACTTTCATAAAGTGAATAGACATTTGAACCTTTTCCCATGCTTGTCGCCAACGCACGGTGCATTTTTTCCTTTTCGCACTGTGCAAACCTCAAAAAAAAGCCGTTTGCACTGTGCAAAATCCTGGCGACGCAGCGACGTAGTTGAAATTGACTTTGTGATATTTCTCCGCACAATACGAAAACCAAAAAAAGGTGAAATGCATGGCGCAAAATGAGGGCCTTTTTATGCGCAGTGCGGGTTGCGAAAAATGTCCATGCACTTTATGAAAATAATACTATCCGTCTGTCGGGAAAATAATGAACGAAAATTCGCTGCGCCAATCGCGTCGCTGAAGGGAAAAGCAATTTGACTTTGCCGCGACACAATTCATTTTTTCGGCGGCTTATTTTGGATTCGACATTGTGCTCATTATTTTCCCGACAGACTGATATTATAATTCACTTACCAAAATCTTCTAGTCGGTCCATTATGTTCGTCTTCTCTCCTCTTCCCTGTTTTACGTCCCAATCGCAAAATTAGGCTTCTTCTTCAAAGATAAGATCGAACAAGACGACCTTTGTGTGCTTTACGTTATATTACACTAATCATGAGAACACTGCAGGATATCGTCATTAGATCCGTTCTGATTCCTGCAAAAGACATGCAAAAATAAGTTCCAACAAGTGTTTTTGACTCAATAAATAGCGAACGCGCAATATAAATACATCTTTTTTGGAATAATGATATGTTTATTCGTGGAAGTGGGGACTGTTGTGAGTCTCTTTTTGGAAAATCTGTGAGTGCTCGTGGCTCGAGGGCTTGTGTTTCGGAGGAGGTTGTGTTCAAAAACAAGCAACAACCAGCTGGTATTCCCATAGAAATTTTTGTGGTAGCAAAGGCAAAAGGTCTTTAAAATTGTCTTAACTCGTAGTTATCAGTCTGTCGGGAAAATGCTGAGCGCAACGTCGCTGCGCCGATCGCGAAGTGAAAAGCGGTTCAATTTTGCGACAGAATTCGCTTTTTCGGCGGCGATGCGATTTTCGATTCGACAGAGCGGTCGTTATTTTTCCGACAGACTAATAGCAACCAAAGCAAAAAGTTATCAAAATTGTCTATAATTCGCAATTAAAATATTCGAAACGCCTCCAGACAAACAGGGAAATACTGCTCGCTGCAAAAAGTCCAGGGGACTTATCGCGGCCCGAATTTTGCCTGCCTTAACAAATAACAAGTTCTAAAAACTAAATTTTTGTGCCAAGACTGATCTATTCCGCCTTAGAAACTCAAGAAACATCATTTTAAGCTAAAATAAAATTTTGTAACGATGTGGAAAATTTGGCGAAAAGGGGTTGAAATAGGACTTTAGGTCAAATTGCGATTGATTTTTCATCCCTAAAAACCAAAATTGGGCAGCTAATTTTTACATATCCTTGATCAGCACAATATTTCGGATTTTTTAAGATATGTCCCGTCGAAAAGTAGAAGCCCCCATAAAAGTACTTTCCTTGTAAAAAAAGACTTTTTGTTGCGAAAAATGGGATTTGCGGGCGACATAAAGCAAAAAATCAAAAATGCACTGTACAAAGCATTTTTTGCAATTTTCAACCCGAAAAAACCGCACAGTCCTGAAATTATCAGGACTTCTAGCCCCGAGCAGTAGTCACGTTTCTCAACCTTTATCTTGCCTTTTGTTTAGCAATTTCCAATAAAAGTTATTTTATAAATTTCCCATTTTTGATATCATAAAGTCCAGAGTACCAAAAACGATCAATAATATATTGCTCATATTTTCAAACGCAAATCTACATAATCCTTCAGAACTGAGCAACATTCAAAAATGGAAAAAAATGATGATTACTCAATAACTGGGCGGCAATGGTATTTTTGCAATGTGCGGTGTTGGCTCGGCACCAAAAAAGTGCTTTGCAAAATGCGTTTTTTAAGTCTGTCGGGAAAATAACGATCGCAGTGTCGCATCGCCGTGGAAAAAATAAAATATGTTGCGACAAAATCAAACTGCTTTTCACTTCAACGACACGATCGGCAAAGTGCTCATTATTTTCCAGACAAGTAGTAATAAGAGGTAGTTTCTGGCACTAAATTTTGCATCCACTGGAAAAGGGGGGAGGAGCCGGCGCGGGGTGCCGTAAATGAGAGAGTGTGGGATTGGAGGAGAGTGGGGAGAGAGGTGAGGGAATTTTTATGGTATGGTAGTACTGTAAAGGTGAGAGAGTGAGGGATTGGAGGAGAGTGGGGAGAGAGGTCAGGGGAATTTTGCGGTCAAATTTCAAAAAAGATGCGCGGGTGTCGTAATTGAAAGGACGCGATGAAATTGCGGTAAAAAATGAAAAAGATGAGAGAGTGTGGGATTGGAGGAGAGTGGGGAGAGAGGTCAGGGGAATTTTGAGGTCAAATTTCAAAAAAGATGCGCGGGTGTCGTAATTGAAAGGACGCGATGAAATTGCGGTAAAAAATGAAAAAGGTGAGAGAGTGTGGGATTGGAGGAGAGTGGGGAGAGAGGTCAGGGGAATTTTGCGGTAAAAAATTGAAAAAGGGTGAGAAAGTGGGGAAAGGAGGAGGATTGCGGGTTGTTGCGCAACCTAGAGGTTGCGGGAGGGCAAGAGGTTGCGGGGTGTTCCGCAACCGAGATGTTATGAATGTTGCGCAACCTAGAGGTTGCGGTAGGTTAAAGAGTTTATGATTTATGTCTGTGATTTTTTTCCGGAAAAAGCGGAAGGATCAAGACTATCAAGTCCATCAATAAAATTTGATGACTCTTCAATAAACTTTTCGACTCAATGATGATGAAATAATTTTTTACCCTTTTCAAAAGGATTAAGAATCCAATAACTTTTATTCGTTTATTCAAAAACCAACAGGTTGCGGTAGGTTAAAGAGTTTATGTGTTTGTGATTTTTTTCCGGAAAAGCGGAAAGATCAAGAGTATGTATGGCCCATGAATAAGAGTTGATGACCCTTCAATAAACTTTAGAGGTCACAGATCTCCAGGATTTTCGGGGCCGTTTGGGGTCAATAGGTCACGCCTCCAAAAAGACCTATATATTCAGACAAGATATTAAGACATTTTCATTAAAGTGCATGTCGCTAGTCGCGGCAATTCCCTGTTTTTTGCACTAGCGACATGCACTTTATGTCGCGACTAGAATCATTTTGCCGAAAAATTAAAAAAAATTTTTTTAGTGAAATGGAAAAACTGTGTGAAGAGTTTAATTCAATGTCCCTCTCCGAGGACGAAACCGAAGTAAGCTTCATTTTTTTTTTTTATTTTTTTCTTTTATTTTTTTAATTTTCTGTTTTTTTTTAGTTAGCGCACCTCAGTGCGCGCCTCGTGGCGGATTTCCCAGGGTGCTCAACCTTGGAGGAGTTTCGGCTTCAAATAAGCCGAAACTTTTATAAAGCTTATTATGCCATTATATATGGCGAAGCCTCACAGGCTTCCAAGGAGGCGGCGGAAGAACTCCGTCGCTGTTTCGAGCAGACACTCGAAACAGTAGACGGGGTGGACCCCCGGTCCAATGAAAGGATTCATGGATGCCCTTAAAGGGCATCCATGAATGTGACCCCAAACGGCCCTCTTTAGGGCCACCCAATCGGCCCTCTTTAGGGCCCCGCCAGAAGCCAGTTCCAGAGCCAGTTCCAGAGCCCCCGCCAGAGCCAGTTCCAGAGCCCCCCGCCCGAGCCTTTTCAAATGACCCCAAACGGCCCTCTTTAGGGCCACAAATCATTTTTTTTTTTTTTTGATAAAGAATAAACATAACGACGCACATCAAGAAAAGATAGAACAAAAGTGTTCAAGCAATGAAAAAAAAAAAAAAAATTTTTTGGATTCTGTAGCTCAAAGATAATTTTTTGCTCCAAAGATAACCTGATCACCTGGAAGATGGAGTAGAATAGATTTATTGCATACATGTGGGTCATAATTATATCACCACTTTAAAAATTGGGTGTAACTTTTTGTGATTGTTGATAGAAATGTGTCATTTGGCATCAATGTACATCAGGGTACTAGAAATTTGAAGCTGGACTCCTACTTAACCTCACCATACATGTTTCATATAACAATTCAATCGTCTTCTATCTGCTTCAAGCCTAAACTAACAACGTCTAAAAAAAAAAAAAAATTTTTTTTTTTTAACAACTTTGCCGATTTCTCCAAGAGTTTTCCCTCGCCCCTGTTTGAAGTTTGTTGAAAACATATTCTGGAACAAGATGGATTTTCTGAACCTAAACGAAAAAAATCCAATGAGTCAGTTTTCAAGATGGAAAATCTCTTCATTTTACGCAATATTTCGCCTTTCGTCTGACCCCGTCCAAAGAAACCTTCATTAAGAGCGATTTTTGGACACTTTCATAAGCGGGTCATTTTACACAATATTTCGCCTTTCGTCTGACCCCGTCCAAAGAAACTTTCATTAAGAGTGATTTTTGGACACTTTCATAAGCGGGTCATTTTACACAATATTTCGCCTTTCATTAAGAGTGATTTTTGGACACTTTCATAAGCGGGTCATTTTACACAATATTCCACCTTTCATTAAGAGTGATTTTTTGGACACTTTCATAAGCGGGTCATTTTACACAATATTTCGCCTTTCGTCTGACCCCGTCCAAAGAAACCTTCATTAAGAGTGATTTTCAGGCTCTTTCATAAGAGGTAACAGAACGCCAACTTATGTGTTGAAAGATAACCCTTTGAGCGCAAAATCTTGACGTGCATCGCAATCTTTCCACGGAATGCTAAAACCCTCCCATTTATTCGTTTATTCAAAAAAAAAAACCGTCAAGATTAAATGTTGCGTAAAGTTCCAACAGATTCAACGAAGAAATAACCGAGATCAATTCATATAAAATTTTTATCCATAACAAATGAAAAAAGAGAGATAGATATGCATTTTCAGATATCCTCGGAGAGTCTCTTATGACTTCCCCTTCTTCGATAAAAAATGTAAAAATTGAAAAGGATGAGGATCACGATAACAGCTAGCAGCACCCAGATTACGATCACCAAATTGTTATTCTTCGAAACCAGCGTATCCAATCCTTCAAAATTTTTCGGCAAACATGTTATTGCCAAATTCGGTCTTTGGGCAAAAGACATACAGTCTTCATCTTCTTCACAAGGACCCGAAATACCACAGGAGCCATTTAAATCCCCCTTGAACTTGATCTGAAAACAGAATAAAAATGTCGAAAACAGCATACCATACGGGTACTCATGAAGCGCTCAGTATCCGGTGTCGACCAGAGTATGTTTCACTGAAAAATAATACAATTATAAGATAACCGAATGAATCGCGACAACAAAAAAAAAAAAAACATTTTTTATTTCTCGACATTTTTTTCTTTGTATTTTTTTTTTTGCGGTAAAAAGACACAATGCCATAAAAAAGTTTTGTTGCCAATTCCGAGGGATTTTCAAACTAACATTTTCTATTTTTTATACGCTGTAGGACATTTGAACGTTTCGGTTATTATCGACAAGCATTGTGGCGTCATATTCGATCATAGCAATCAGGCTAAGACCTGATTCCCCGACGGGAGTGTTAAAAGCAAGTCTTAACGAAACAGGTCCGTTTCTGATCAAGTCCATGCAGTTGTCATCTTCTAAGGTTGTTGTCATATTCAAGACAAAGATCGTAAAACCCTTTTTGTACATTTCCCTATCGATAGTGCATGAATAATCGGTAAATGCGAAACCCAAAGCCTCATTAAAATCATGATAGGCCCTAATAAAATTATCTTTTGTAAAATCCATTTCATAAGGGATGCAAGGGAATTGTTGACCATTAGCAGAGAGAGTAACGGATCTTAGGTCACTGTGTACAAAATTAAAGGGAGACTTTTTCGAAGAGTCTTGGACATCAGGGTGATTTGTTAAACCAAAAACAACCCTCCGAGGGACCTGGTCTGTACTTAAGGTTGTAACATATTCTTGTCTGCCTTGAGAAATGAAAAAGGATTTCAAATCCGTTTTCCTGATTGGATAGATTGCGGGATTTTTAATTAAAGTATTGGCAAATCCCATTCCCACACCATCGTTTAAATCCACAGTTTTCACATATAATTTACAGGAGGTTATGGTAAGACGGAACTGCGTTGCTTGATTTGTCACATTACTCTCAATACAAAACAAATTCTTTGCAGGCGTAATCTCCAACACAAGATCCGTGTGATTAAGCATTAATTTTGGAACATTTGCGAGCTCGCAGAAAAGCCTTGTTACAAAGTGCGCTTCCTGTCCTCCCACAAACATTGCGCGGCGCTTTTGGAACCCCGAGTCCGTTTCATCGTTAAATTTTACACTATCATACCATCCCAGAGAGGAGAGATAAGTTTGACTGGCAGTTGAGGGGAAATTAAGCAAAAGGTCAAAGTAGGTTCTCCAGCTTTGTAAAGAATTTGAATGGTAAACCTCCTGGCCGTTTATTAGTAGTCTCATATTTTGAATAAAGGTTGCCCCAATGCCTTGGATAGGAGCGACCTTATCATTGGCTTCAATATTTATCCAAGTTTGACCATTATCTGATGATTTTTGCATTTTCATCGATGTCATAAGAAAAGTTTTTGTCAAATCAACAAAAGAGCTTCCAGGCATTACTTTAAATTGGTAAGGAGTTTCAGAAATTGGGTTTAGGGTTAAATATTCACTAAATTGGGAATGAGACGCTGATATATTTGTTTCGGGGACATTGAAAACATCGAGAGATGACGAAACACTCTCTTCACTTCGAGCATCAATCTTCTTAAACGACATGTTAATAATGAAGCAGTAAGGCCTAATGTTCCTTTATATACTGTTTAGTACATGCCAAACACATCGGTCCTTTTCTTCTTTATCATTCCTTTGCGCCCTGATGCCTTTCGTTTCCTTCCCTCCCCTTTATGCAAATATTTATTTGAAGCCTTGCGCAACAAATTCCGAGCTCCTTGTGAGGTGTTGCGAACCATTATGGTCTTCAAATCTTCACTCTGTGGTTGAGCCATATCTCCGAGAATACGACTCCCCGTTTCCAAGGCTTCTTTTCCCAAACTCTGCCCCGCAGCTTTCAAGACAGGAGCAAAATAACGCCACACATTACCAAGAACTGATCCTAAGCCATGCCCTCTGTGTATTCTTCCCATCCCGCGATGAAACATTTTTCCCGCATAAAAGGGAGATGAAGAAAATCCAGAACCATATTGAAAACTTCTACCGTATTGAGTCTTGCCCTGAGGCGAAAAGTCGACTATTTTCGAAGAGTCAAAGGGTACAAGAACCATATCTAGTGTCCAAATAAGTCAAAACATACGTATTTATACTTTTATCTGCTTGCACCTCAACTGTAAGATCTATGACAAAACCAGAATCAAAAGTCTAGTGATTACAAAAATTTTTATTGATGATTAACATTTTGTTTTGGACACAACAATATTTTTTTAAAAACCCACAATGTTTTATTCGTTGATATCGATCTCCTCAATGACCTTGCTACGACATTGACAACATTTGTTCACACGGACCCCAATTAATCCTGAGCAAATGAGGATTAGAAGCTAAAATCGGTATAAAATGATATATTGAATTTGATCTTACAGTGAAGAAGAAAGCAACTATTCCAAGGATTAAGCTAGCCAAGGGCCAGAATTTGATGGAGAAGTTCAAGAAACAATTTTCATCGAGCGTCTTTCCAACATTATAATTAGAATCCAAGCATATAAGGGGTTCCAGATACCTTAAAAAGGACATTTTAAAAAATCATTAATGCAAAAAATTACCCAAAAGGACGATAACAGTCAAAGTTGTTGGGACACGTACAATTGGTCCTCAAGAAATCTTGAATTCTCAGAGACATTTTGAAGAAACGAGCGTTAGACGGAGCAGAAAAAGTATTTAAGACAGAAAAATTTTTGTATTTCGGGCTAAACAATGGCTTTCTCTGCTACGGAGTTGAAACTTCACCTACCATCTGGTCTTTTATTAGGAGGTTCTTCAGGCAGCGGAAAGACGTCCTTAATGCTCCAAATTATAGAAAATGCGCGTAAAATTTTTGATCCCCCGCCAAAGGATGTGGTTTATTGTTATGGAGAGTTTGGAGAACATGTTACACATCTAGCAAAACAGGGAATTAAAGTTGTTTCAGGACTCCCGGATGATGAGCTAATAAAAAATTCAAAAAAACCTTTGCTCCTTGTGTTGGACGACCTGATTACATCGATAGACCCTCAGTACCTCACAGAGCTTTACACAAAGAAGGCGCATCATCAAAACTTGGGTGTGATTACATTGAGTCAATCAATTTTCGAACCAAAACTCCGTGTTCCACGCATAAATTCCCAATATATCATTTTAATGAGAGCTCCGAACGCTGAACTTCAAGTACGAACACTAGGCTCACAAATTTTCCCCGGTAAAAAGGGATTTATGGAAGCATATCGTGATGCAACAAAGGAACAATTCGGCTATCTTTTAATCGATCTACATCCAAAGACACCTGTTGATTTGAGACTACGTACAAACATTTTTTCGACAGACTCCATGGTGGTGTACAAAGTATAAATAGCAAAGAGAACAACCAAAAATCTAGTTTATGAAGCTTATTCAAAAGCATGTCTTGTTTCTAAAAAAATTGGCGTCGTTCAAGAGTCCTGAAAGTCGAAAATTGTTTTTAAGTTCTTGCTCTCCAGAACAAGTCCAAGCAATTGTGGAGATCTGTTATAATCTTGTTCAAGGGAACATCCATTTAACTCCCCACCAAAGGAAAAAGTTGTTGCCATACGCTACCTTTATTCGCGAATTGAGTCGAAAAAGGTCTACCGCCTCGGGGCTTAAACATCTTCAGAAAGGAGCCGGTCTTCCATTTGCTGCCTTAATTATTCCTGCACTACTTGAAGCGTCGAGATTATTCCTAAAATGAAAAAATTTTTCCTAGTGCCAGAGGATTTTTACAACAATATTCTAAACACAACAACCTCTGAAGATTTTTCTCAATCAAATGTCAACAAGACCTTGCATCAAAAAGGCAATGTGGGCACAAAGTATTTGAAATATAATCAACAAATGCCTGATTATCTTCGCAGAAAAAGAGAGATGGATAATAAACCTGTTAAGGTTACTTTTGAAGATGGATCGACAGGGGCCAAAACGGGAAAATCAATCTCAAAAGTAGATGATGATGGAGCATACGGGGAACTGTTTGCCAAAATTTATAAGGAAGTTCAGAGAACTGCTGGGAAAACTCCGAGGGTTAGAATAAAACGTCGATTTGTCCCAAAACATTCTGAGAACCGGGAAGAAGAACATGAGCCCAATTCAGAACAAATCCCCGACCTCGAATCAGAACAATCCCCTGACCCCGAAAACGAAGAAGGCCATGAATTTTTTACACCTGTCAGCCGTAGAACCCCAAAAAATACGACTCCAAAAAGTGAACGCCAACCCTTTACGGGTTGGAAAGCCCTTCCTCCAATCACTCCTTCCAAAGCCTTAGAAATTGCAAATTCTTTAAAAGGGAAACTCCGACGGGCCCCAGATACGTTTGGGATATCAGAAAAGGGATTCTTAAAAGATAAAAAAGGAAAAGCAACGACTTTTAATGCTGAAGCTCTTCTCAAACAGTGGGCCAAGAATCCTGTTGTTGGTGCTGACACCGTTCCCATCGATTTTCTAAATAAAATGTACAAGAATGAAGGTACAAAGGATATGATTCATCAACTTATGAGCGGACGGACAAAGAGGGAGAGAAAGCAAGTAGCCCGAGGAGTTTTATTGAAAAGAAGACACTACAGATTCAAGGTTCTTTCGTGGAAGTATAAAAGCACACCGAAAGTTTTGAAAAGGCATTAAATGGATGTTTCAGTTCCTGAACTTCCCGACTCTTGCAATCGTTACAACGAACTCATTTTTTGTGCTGTAAGCATAATTTACACTATTGTTTTGTTTGTATATTTTATTGTGCACGGACTTATAAATGGACGAAAACGAAATCCGAAGAATAATCAAGCTGACGCCCTCGCTAGCTTCGAGCTTCTTAGACGTGCTTTCGATAGACCAAGTCAGTCTTCCCCCCAAGTACCCGTTTAGTGTCATATACAATCTCGATAAGAGCTATGAGCCAGGTTCACATTGGGTCGCTTTGTACGGTGATTCTCAAAAAAGAGTGTTCTATTTCGACAGTTTTGGAGATCCGCCGCCACACGAAATTACAAGTAAATTTCCAAATACAAATTACTGGCAAAAG